GGAGATGAGACATGTTCCACTATAGATCATCTCAACTGTTGTTATTCGTGATAACAAATGATCTTGAGTGTTTTATGGCTTTCATGCAACAGCTCTGCAAATTAAAGAAAAATAAAAGCAAACAAGTCCTGAATACCGTTGTACATGTGCTTTAATATTGGCAATTACTTCCACCAAAAAAGTACAGAGGTACTTACTTTTTGCGTTACAGAAACAGCCATAAAACAATATCAAGTTCAGCTCAGTTTTTTTAATATTTGCCAGATTACCCTGAATTGCTTCAGTCAGTCTGTAAAGCATTTCACATGCTGTCTCATTTGCTAAATTGTATTCTGTTCATTTCTGGCTAATTCCAGTTTGTTTGTCTGCTGACCCAAAAGCTTGTTTAGGAGAAACAACTGGTTCTGAATTTGATGAAGTTCTGCTGCCTCACTCTTCTGAACGAACACTGAGATTATATTATAGATGTTCTCCAACTGAACCGGTGAACAGCAGAATGATACAGTTAAAGTGCTGGATAGATTGAAAACTTCTTAACCAATCAGAATGTACCACAACACAAATCAAAGAGAATGAGAGAGAGAGAGAGAGAGAGAATGAGAGAGAGAGAGAGAGAGAGAGAGAGAGAGAGAGAGAGAGAGACATACATGGAGAGAGAACGAGAGAGAGAGATAGAGAGACAGAGAGATGAAGAGAGAGCTATGGAAAAGAGAGAGACAGAGAGATGGAGAGAGAAAAAAGAGAGATGAAGAGAGAAAGTTATGGAAAAGAGATGGGGAGAGAGAGAAAGAGATTGAGAGACAGAGATGAAGAGAGAGATAGGGGGATGAGAGACAGGAAGAGGTAAAGAGAGAGAGAGATGGAGATAGAAAGGTGGGGAGAGAAATATGGAAAAGCAAGAGAGGGATCAAGAGATGGAGAGAGACAGACAGACAGAGAGATGGAGAGAGAAAGAAATTAAGAGACAGAGAGTTGTAGAGAGAAAGCCTGAGAGAGTCAAAGGCTGACAGAGTCAAAGAGAGAGAGACATGGAGACATACATAGAAAAGAGATGGAGAGAGGGAGAGAGAGAGAGAGAGAGAGAGAGAGAGAGAGAGAGAGAGAGAAAGAGAGAGATATGAAGTAGGATGTGCTGATCGATACTGAAATAGATACTTTGTTTGATGTTTCTTTTTGAGAATTAATCCTCACATAATATCTATAAAAGATATTTTCTTTAAGCAACAAACTGAACATATATCAGAACTACTAAACTGATGGTGAAAATAAAAAAATAATGATCACAGCAAATAAATATGTAGGACAGGAAGTACTTTTCCTTCTGCCCTTTCCCTCTGCTTCTCACTCACACAGGCACAGACTGCCACATGAGTAATACTAATGCCTTCAAATGTAATTTTAATGTCCACTTTTTACTGTAGATATTACAAAATCACATTGGTATCAGATTGGTAAGAAAATTAGTGTATAACATCCCTAATACAGAAAGAAAGAAAGAAAGAAAGAGAGAGAGAGAGAGAGAGAGTGGCCCAGTACAGACCAGTACAGAAAAAAGAAGGCGGGGTTAGAGTGCTACAGACAGAAAGAATGGTAAAGAAACAAAGGGCTTAGCCAGATGAATAGATGTTGAATAGATGGTATTTTCCTTCTCCTTTTCCAGCAGTTGAAGAAACACTATGCTGAATGCAAACCCCTTTCTGGTTTATGAGTTGTGGTGGAAGGAAGCAAATTCTGGCACGCTGACTTTAAGAGGGAAAAGTAGGCCACATTGAGACATGCTTTGGGTTTGAACAGGAAAAAGGGCTACTGTTAAAGTTTTTTCCAAGAGTCAGGCAGAATCAAGAACAAAGCCCATGATATTACTTTAGCATCCAAGTCTCTTATTCTGTTTGTGAGGCTTATGGAAGCCATAGAGTTCAGCATGCCCCGAGGACACTTAAGAAACTGAATGAGTGATAGCAAATATCCCTGCATCCATCTGATGTTGGACTCGTCAGACCCTGACAGATCACATTTTCTACAAAAGTGAGTGTCACCTAACTTTCTCTTTCCAGACGCTGAGTGAGTTATAGGGATCTGAAGGCCCTCGTTGAAATCTGGAGATTCAACCTAAGGAAATGGGAAATGGTCTTGTTGAATATCGCTGGAATGTGCTCACTTTTGCTCTCTTTCTTTTTGATGTATTTGAGAAACACAGTATAGTTGTACTTGGAGCATATAGTAAAGTTCACAGGACTGAGAGGAGTCTTGGGGAGCACCGATTCTAATTTAAGACACAGAGTAATCTTATTGGCCATTTTATTAAAAACATCTACCATGTAGGTGCACTAGGTTCATAATTGCTAACTGTAGCCCATCTGTTGCTGTACAACTTATCAGTGCCCTCTACCTGTCCATTAATCGAAAGGGACCACCACTGAACAGATATTATTTGGGTGGTGGACCATGGCAGTGTCATGGTACAATACCAAGGTAGGTGCCTAATAAAATGGGCAGTTACGTCTGAAAAACTCGTACCAGCGCAACATGCACTAACATATTACTACCACATTGCCATCACTGCTGTGCCGAGAATGGTCCTCCACCCAAATTATATCTCGGACCTGTTTCAGAACAGTTTCTGCTGACATTCCTGCTAACAAATCATAGCAAAGACAAACATGAATTCCATTCTGGTCTAAGCTGGTCTGTTTCAGGATTAGCTAGGCACCCAACACAGTCATGCTGGTTAAACAGAATACCAGCGTCCAGAACAAAACATATACTGGTTTTGCTGGTGTCCACTCGCAGCAGAAGGGGAGGAGGGGACAGTGAGAAGTGGATTAATTAATTAGAATGTTCTCACCATAGCTTGAGGTACGCTCAGTGTGCTACTCAGCTAGCCATACAAACTTTTGCAATGCAAAGGTTTGAACATATTGTACAAAAACATGTGAATGTCTGGCTTATAAGCTTTGTTTCTGTTAGCTGTGTTTCACTTACTAACTAATTAATAAGCAAACTAGCAAAGTGATGAAGTTGTATCAGCAGTCATGTGTAACTGATGGAGTAGTTTGCCACCTAAAGCCCAGCAAATCGAATGTAATCATTTTTAAATATTGAGCATTTTAAAGTAGTTTACTGCTGTGGCTTATAGACAGCTTTGAGAACAAAACCTTTTAAGGTTTGAATAGGGAACCACATCGACACTTATGTTCACTTGATCCCACACTTCTAAAAGGGCTCATCTAATATACGTCACTTGAGCTAACGAAGTAATGGAACGGCCTTTAAGATGGCGTCTGGGACTCCCAGAGGGGAACTTATTTTGCACTAGTAAATATGTAGCCTAACTTCAGAAGCCAAGTCCCAGCAACGCCAGAGTGTGTGTCGGATTAAAGCAAAGATCGGAACTCAGGGTGGCGGCCCCTTCCATTGATGAATGGGCCAGTATTTGGTTGATACTGTGCAACAACAGATGGGCTACAGTCATTAACTCTAAACCTCCAAAGTGCACCTACATGGTTTATGTTTCTGACAAAACACCCAATGAGTGTAGGCACAAGGTAGGAGTACATAATTAACTGGCAACTCAGTGCAAGCAAAACACTTATCAAGCTTCCTACTTTACTGTTCCATGATTATAATTGACTAATCTGATCCCAGTGTTGATGTAATTGTTTACTAAAAAGTCAGATGGCGGTCTAGGCCCCACACAAATAAACCAAATGTCTGAATCAATGGTACTCCAGAATAAAAACATTTTGGTGAGGTAGAATAATGAACTCTACAGACAGAACAGAAATGTTTTGTGTCATGGGCGTACAGGGTGGCATGCCACACTGCAAAACATTAGTATGGAAGCATTACCGAACAAATATAGGACGGACCAGCGAGATTTGATTTCCTTTATACACTCTAATTGTTGACAGAGGGGTGGCTTGGCTGACAGTGTCCACACATCTGGAAGTTATCTGGTCACTTTCTGTAAACTTGTCCAATAAAATAAAAAAACTAAGCGTAATTCTTTTAAAAATAAAGTGAAAGAAAACCCCTAATGGTTGGGGAAGGGGTGATCAAAGCTCTTCCAACTCCTCATTTTTCATCTCTTGCTTACTGCAGTGGATGGGGCCACATGCAATAGCTGTTTATAGAGATAAACAAAAAGCAATAACTGGACAAATCTAAATAAATTGCTGCAATTAATCACCATCACATTTATATCAGTGACTTACATATAAGATTTAATCAGACATCCATGCCAGTAGCTGTAGTCTCTTTACATGCAGTAAGCATGGTCCCACAGCCTTGATTTTAAGTTGTAATTCTGAGCTATTTAAAATTAGTAATTATTTCATTAAAGGTGTTCTGTATGCCAAAAAAATACACATGCTATTTACTTTAAAGCTATCCAAAATGAAGTGGAAAAGGTACACATTAAAAAAAATAAGTATACAGCTCCCTCTGGTGTTACATTAGAATATTACTATCCCCCCTGTGGCATTGAAATTTTAAACTGGAACAGGAGTTACAGCTCAAGTTAGCAAAGTTTAAATTTAATAACAGAGGTGCCGATCTAAAAGTTATGTATAGCAGTTTCACTTGATCCTCTCAAATATTTTTTCAAAAGGAGAACCAAAGAGGTGACATTTCATAAGCATGCAGCAATGTGCACATGACTGCAGTAATTAATGCTACTAAATGATCCTTCCTCTGTGCCAGTAAAACATGATGTCTAACTTCAGAAGCCAAGTTTCACAAGCAGGGCCAGAGCATGTGTGTGATTGAAGCACAGATCTGAACTAGGGTCATAAAGGCTATATGACATCATTTATTGAAAGTGGTCTATTTTCCATCCCTTATGATAGTGAGTCTGAGGCATGCAGTGATGAAGTCCAAATGTTGAGTTTCTCTGCACACACCTCACATGAAAGCTCACCATAACCATACAGCTGGCCCAAAGTAATGTTCCATTTTGACTCATCTGTTTTCAAGTAAATAAAACTAATCATTACAAAAAGTTAGTTCAAATAATGGTTTAATTACATACACTGAAATCATACAACTGCACCAGCTCAGTTACTTCGGCAACTAATTCTGACAAACAACCTTGCTCAGTTTTGCCAAAAACAATACCTCCTGTTCCTGTACTAGTCATTATGGGATTTGATGGCAACAAGGTGGAGGGCTGTTTGTGTGTTTTGTGAGAATAAAAGGAGAGTGAACTCTATTTAGATGTGTAACATTTACTTCTTTGCGACCTGAAAGCGCTCATTAACATTCTCCCAGTTCACAATGTTCCAGATGGCCTTAACGTAGTCAGGTCTGACATTTTTGTACTGAAGATAGTATGCATGTTCCCAAACATCAATGCCAAGTAGTGGGATGAGACCTAAAATACAAAAGGGAAACAGGAAAAAGTACAAGTAAAAATAAAGAAATTGGATCCAAATGACAATTTTAAGCTGAAAAAAAAGCCAAGGAAGTATTTATTACTAATGGTGCTGTATAGTTCCTGCTACATGAGGGATATGCTATAATTCCTTGAAGTACTGTAACAATAATCTAAAGCCTTTTACCTGCATGAAATGAACAGTTTTGAGGTGTACAGGTTCTTTATAACTTAATTCTTGCAGCTGCTCTGTTTTGGAAATACTAACCAGTAGTTCCTTGCAGCGGATCTTGGTTGGCACAGGCAGCAATTCGCAGTCTCCCACTCTCCTTATCGAAGCCCAGCCATCCCCATCCTGATCCCTGAACTGCTACAGTAGCGGCAGACATCTTCTCCTTCAAATTTTGGAACGAGCCAAAGTCACGCTTAATGGCCTCCATTAGCTCACCTAGGGTCACACAAGGGGAATGTTTTTTTTCTGACTGATATCTTATGGAAAAAGGTCAAGTTAAAAACTTATTTTAGTGTCAAACATGCTGTAACACCACTGCACATATGGTGAAAATAAAGAACAAATGATTTGTGCTGCGTCTTGCACCCTGTGGTTCTCCTCCGCCATTTGGGGATAGGTTTGTCCAGAAAATGGTGTGATTGATGTGGCCACCACCATTAAACCTCAATGCAGCCTGAAGGGCCACTTGTGTTGTCACATCACCTGTAAGACAACATAGTTATAAATGATAAAAACTGATAAGAGGAAACAGCAATGAAGAACTTAATATGAAGAACCAAAATACAATACTTTCCAAGTCATTTACAATACAGTTAGTCTGCTGGGTGACTGAAGAACACTTTATATAACAGGATAAACTTTGTCACCTTTGGCCAGCGCCTCATGATACTTCTCTTCAGCAACATTAAGATTGTTGACGTATGTCGCATGGTGCTTGCTGTGGTGAAGCTGCATGATCTCAGCACAGATGTGGGGCTCAAGTGCCCCATAGTCATAAGGGAGGTCTGGAAGTGTGTGCTTCAGTCTGGAGGCCAAAACACCCAAGAATGGACTTAAGGTGGCTGTGCACCTGTCAAAGGGGGAAAAAAGAAAATAGTTTTAAAAGTGAAGGGACACAGTGAAATCAAATGGGAGCTTTGCACAAGCAACACCACTCACAAGAACCGCATGTACAGGTGTGGTTCTACTTCAACTTTGACAAAAAATTATGGAATGTCCTATAATTTACAGATCTAGTTAGTTAACTTAGCTATGCATTTTTAACCTGACCCTAATCACATAAGCTGCTAGTGCACAACTGCCAGAAACGGCTAACCAACATAACTGGAAACTAAGCTAGCTACTGTCTTGTTTACGGAGAGCAATAGCTAGTTAGGTAAAATGTGGTTCGGTGCATAGACCTCTAAAGCTAAGCAGAATGCATAATAAATTAAATTCGTACACGTTGTGGTGTACTTGATCTGCTGGCTGTCAACACGGCTGGTACTAACGCCAGCCAAGACAACTGACTGAACTCTCGGAAGAACTGTTAGCAGCTAGGCTAACAGCTCACGCAAGTAACGTTATTCAACACTTCAGCACGTGACAAGCAGCAAAACAGCGCATAATTTCAAAAGCCTCGCTGTAATTCTAAGTGCCTAACTTTAACTTTACCTGCGAACATGTCCAACTCTGCTCAACATGTTCTTATTTTTTGGTTTAAAGTTGGCTAACTGTGAGCACTGCGCAGCTGCGTTTCCCCCTCCTTCACTCTCTCACTCCATTCTAACCTGCCCTTGAAATCTCAACGTTAAATCGAGCAGGACCGTACCATTGCTCTGTATTTAGGTAGGGCAGACAGTTGTGCAGTTTTCTCTTCACATGCAACGTCAATTGAAAACATAGCAAATATAAAAGCGAAGGGAATAAACACGTGCTGACGTTATGTTTGGTTATTCTCTTTTATAAATACTCTACCGTATGTTTTACTAAATTAACTCCGAGATCCACTCCCCCGCGGTAAATAAATTCACGTGATCCATTCTCGTTCGCTGGCCGTTAAGGGCCTTGTTGCTGTTACATGCTTAGGTTTTCCAGTGGATCTGCTCTTGTCAAGAGGAGTGAAGGTGCGTTCGAGGATTTAAGGATTTTAGTCCGAACTTCAAATAAACATTGGTTTAACTGTGGCATGGTTGTTTAACGGAGTGCGCAAAAACCGATCAGCAACCAGCAGTCTCTTTGATTTTTGTTTGTCATTATATGTTTTCGGTGTTTGTGGTCCAGAACTAATGCTCCAACATCTGTAGCTAGTACCTGACCTCACTAAAGCTTTCAGTGTTCCAACATATAGCGCAAATGTGAAACTTTTGGTCATTATCTCCCGTATGTAAGAGAACTATACTGTCAAATATATAATAGCGATAGAAATGAGAAATGAAACTAGAGAAATGATCGAGAAAGGATATGTACAAAAATAAGACAGGGTGGTTTCATCTTTAACTCTGCTTAAAAATCATAGAAACCATTGAAAGTTTCTCTCGGTTTCTGGTGGTGCCCACACACACACACACACACACACACACACAAACTAAACCGCTTCTGGTGGTGTCCAGCAGTCTAACAATATTTTGTGTTTCCCTGATGGGTTAATATCACAGTGTAAAACCTGGGACTGATTCCAGGTGCATTTGGTGGTTTCATGAACGAGATCTGAAGGTATCTTACAATAAACTAGTGGTCTCTAATGGTAACCATTGAGCCAATTCCCCTTAGAAAGCAAGATCATCAGGTTTTGATCCTAATGGTTCTAATGGTCTTTTTTCAGCAGGTAGCAACTTTGTTTACTTTAAAGTGTACTCTTTAATTTTAATATGAATCAAAATAAATTTAGCAGCCCATCCTGTAAAGCGGGATAAAGTGTCAGTGGCTGAACTGGTTAACATGCTCCCGCACACACCGTGTGAGCCGCCCCGCCCCTTCAGCCTCTGCGGCGGAACATCCATCGTCCTCGCGGTGATGGCGGCTACGCCGAGTTCGCGTTAAGCTCAAGCTTCGGTCATTTTTTGCGGAACTACACGATTAAAATTGACGAACTGCCGATTCATAACGTGCTAGAAGCAGAGTGTGTCATCTTGGTCTAACTAATTCAGGGCTTGTAAGTATCTCGAGTGTCTCTTTTTTGGCTCGTTTGTTGTAAACAGGCTGGGAGAGAGCTGTGCTCCTCGGCGGAGGGAGAGTCTCTTCCTTTTCCGCCATTTTGTGACAAGAAACTGATAACACACGAAGCCGGCAGGTACTATTCTAAATACCGAGTGAAGCGTGCGACTCAAACTGAATTTGGTTAGGCGGTTTATGGGATATGTCGTCGAAAATTGTTCAGTGGATAGATGTGTGCAGCTGGCCCGCCGGACCGCTCTACTAGGTCGACTGTTTTTGAACGTCGTTTGCAGCACCAGCCCTGCTAGCTGGCTAACGCTGGCTAGCTAACGTTAGCTACGTTACCGCGAATAACAAGCAAACGGGTTTCGTCCAGCTTGTTCGTTGATAAAATTCACGCTGTTGATGCTGCCAAGTCGTTTTGCTTAACGGGCTAACTCAAGGTGCTTAAACAGTAAGCGCCGCACCACTAACGTCAGTTAAATATTGGGTCAAACGCGAGAGGTTGTGTGATTTAACTAGCTAACGTGAACGTAGTCAGCCCCAGTAGGTTAACTGTTGTTAGCTTAATTGTTCCTTTACTGAGCTAACTAGTTAACTTCAGTTAACTGACCGTAGTTAGGTCCAATGCTCTTTGGCTTGCGCTGGTAAACTCTTCATTATGGTCCGTATTGCTCGGACACAAAACACGTGTGGTAGCTGAGTGCGTGACAACGCATATTTGCTTCTGTGGCCATTTCATGCAAATAGAGCCGCCAGTGCAAAGGGGTTTGTTGTAGCTTGCTTTTGGAGGAGGCACAGAATTAGACCAGTATTTCTAATGTGTTTTTTTTTTGTCGTCTTGCAGAGATCAAGATGACTAATGAAGAACCTCTCCCGAAGAAGGTGAGCTGATTGTCGCAGTGGTCCTAACTCTGTAATCCGATTAGAGAAAATTGCTGTTATTTCAGTTTATTGATGCTTATGTTTTCTGTTCAGGTTCGCCTTAGTGAGTCCGACATGAAGACCCTGACTAGAGAAGAGCTGTGTGCGAGGTAAGGGGGAATTTTAGGGTGATTTTTGGTCCGTTTATTTTCCTTGAAATGCTTTCCACATGCATAAATATCCCCCTCTCCATTTTAGGTGGAAACAGCATGAAGCCTACGTCCAGGTGCTGGAAGCAAAATATGCTGATTTAAACTGTGAGTCTAAATACTGATATTCCACACATTGCTCTTGTTGTTCAAAATGTATATCTGGGCATTGCTTAAGTGATGAGTATTTAAACCGCATGTTATGTCCACAGCCAATGATGTGACTGGTCTGAAAGAGTCTGAGGAGAAGCTAAAGCAGCAACAGCAAGAGTCGGCGCGCAGGGAGAACATTCTGGTGATGAGGCTGGCCACTAAGGAGCAGGAAATGCAGGAATGTACTGTAAGTATTTCTGTCTTTGAAGGCCTAGTCACTTGACATCAGTACCACTCTCTTTAGTCCACACTGGGTAAATAGATTAAGTGTAATGCACACCTAAAGGACATTTTAAGCACACTTTGAAATCAGATACGGGATGCGTGGCAGTGGAAGTTGTTTTCAGTGAAACAACAGCTTGAATAGATTTATTATAGAGAAAAATTAGTTTGTTTAATCATACTTGCTTATAAAACTTGCAGAAACAGCCCATAAGTTTAGGCTACAAGTCACCACTTGGTTGCCAGGCTTTTTTAAATGTCTCATACTGTCTTTGTTTTTAATTAGTTGGTATCTAAGTTGAGATTGGCTTACGCTGCAAGTATCCATTTATACTAGATATCTTACTAATTTCCCTCATCTCTTCCATCTCCTTCCACTCCAGGAAAGGGGCAAGTGAAATGTCAGGTGTCAGTTCTTTTCTTGATAGACTAGAAGCTGAAGGCACTTTGACAGGAGAATTGATGTGTAACCTCACAGGTTAACACATTTAAAATGCATTCCCATCTTTAAAGGAGCAGCACACTGGCAGGGTTGTCCATTTTTGTTACATGTAGAAGTGGTTGAAAACCAATATCATGATGATAATATATATATATATATATATATATATATATATATATATATATATATATATATATATAAATTAGGCTATGTTTTACTGTTCTTGTGGCTTACATCAGCAATTATATACAGGAGTTTAGGTTGATGAATGTAATTTGATAAACCTCAATCACATTAGTAGAACATAGAACAATGGAAAGCTGGTGAATCTCATGTTATGCAGGATCTTTTGTAACATGAATGGTATATCTAGGTATTTTATTATGTTTGTGAGTATTAGCTGGCAGTTGATATCCTAATTGATATAATTGAAATCAAGTTTGTCTTTTTTTTTTTGTTCACAGTGTGTAACTATCAAAGTTGAAGCCTAAAGCGGCCACATTGGCTGATTAGCTATCATGCTTCCTAGCTGTAGATGCTTATACCTAACAGATGACAGAAACAGCTTGATCTCAAATAAACAAACCTTACTCACTGCTGTGCTCTAAATGTGTTAGATGTGTAAATTTGTAACGGATAGAAAATAGCATTTGTTGTTGTAAAACTCATGATGTGTCAGTAAATGTGTTTCCTGATTTCTTTTATTTACAAGCATTTGCCTTAAGCCAATGGATGAAATAATTTTTACAGTTCGTATTTCTTGCTGTGATTAAAATGTGATTGTAAAAACTAACATCTGTTGAAAATAATTTGTCAGATTAATTCATTGATATCAGTTCAAATTGTTACAGTCAGGTGATGATAATTCTGACAGATCTAGGTATATCTTGCTTGGTGTACGATATATACTGGGTGTGCGTGTGTCATAATATTGCAGAAAAACGTCTATCATAATCAGCTCCTATTGCTGGTAAACTTCAGCACTCACCTTGCCTGTTTTGGATCTGACATCCCTGCCTGCGTTGTACCTTGTTTGTAGTCATCAACGCCTAACATTACTTACAGTACTTTGTCAGGGAGAAGTTACACTGGTTCCTTTGACTAGCATCATACAGATAACATCAGCTGAAATAATCTTTTAATAGAAGCAGACATGCAGTCTGTGCAAATTTTATCAGATATTTAAATTCTAGCAGTAGCAGTTCTCATCTTTGAAGATGAGAAAACACTAACATATTTTAAAGTTTCCCATATGTAGGGCAAGTAAATTCAACAAAAGTCAGTTTTGTAGCGTAACACTAGTGTCTCCAAATGGATTTTGAGCCACTCTGTTGACCATGAGAACAGATGCTTCAGATATTATTTTCTACTTGTATTTTTCATATTAGGTTTTTCATATTAATTTTGTTTTTGAGTTAGTGTGTACAGCAAGTTTACTGCAAGATTGGGCAGTACATCAATTAGGGAATTGGCCTTATTTCTTCTGTTTCTAACATTGTTCCTCCCCTTACAGACCCAGATCCAGTACCTGAAGCAAGTCCAGCAACCCAGTGCAGCTCAGCTGAGATCCTCCATGGTGGACCCAGCCATCAACTTATTTTTCCTCAAAATGAAGGCTGAACTGGAACAGACTAAAGACAAACTGGAGCAAGCCCAAAATGAACTGAGTGCCTGGAAATTTACACCTGATAGGTAAACTAAAATAACTCCCCCCTCCAAACAAAAGTCAAGACTTTCCTGACTCACCCCCTCACTTTCTCCACTGCAGGAGTGCAAATAATGGTGGGGGAAGACTGAAATGCTATGTTCACAACAAGACTCAGACTTAACAGCCAAAAACAGAAAGACATTTTTTTTCTCTTGTACTGTGCTGCTATTATCATACTGTAATGTAAAAGTGAAAGAGAACAGAAACTGAAAAGACAGTTTTGGTCAGGTGACACTGTTGTTTCAGCTTTCTCTTCCCCACACCCCCTCATGGTACAGAGGCCTGAAGGAATCGGGACTGTTCCTGAAGAGGTGGTCACGGCGGAAACAACCCCTCCTTCCAGCCCCAGCAACTCATGTTAGACAGTTTGCTGTAATAAATCGTTGGCGGCCATTGAGAGAGACTTGAGCAAGGCGTTGGCTCTGGAGCTGATTGAACTGTAGTTTACAACAAAAAAAAACATTGAACATTTAAAACATGACCCCTATAAAATACCTTTCACAGGAATATCTCCCCTCTTTTACCCCCATCAATGTAGAACTCCCAAGACTCTTAAGACTCTGGGTAAGACTTTAGAAGCAACATGGGGGAGGGGGACAGTAGTGTGATGTAATACAATGAAAGGAGTTAACAATCCTAAGACTCTGGGGGAGGAGCCTTTGTAATGATGTAATACTTTGGGGAAAGAGTAAGACGCTCTGGTCTTCAGAGACTTTGGTTAATGTCCATCTCATCGGTGAAAGAGACGGTACAGTGTTAAACTTTTCCTTTTTCTTTGTGTTCGTAATTTTTATAATTTTGCTTTGTTTTTGTTTGTTCTTTGAAATGCGCTTTGCACTTACAGCAGTGTTATTTTTTTTAAAAAAATGTTAAAAAAAAAAAAACGCACACAATTGACGCTCTATACATCAGTGATAAAGCCTGAGGAATTGCTGATACACTGCTGCAGATGCAATCTTTTTATTTCAATGTGAATGCCCATGTGTCTTAGATAACTAAATAAGCTGTTTTATATGTATGTCTATGCTGCTGTGTCTTTTGATCACATTTTAGGTTCAACAGTTAAGTGCATGTTGAATTTTAGGTTCCTTAAGAAATTTTGACATTTATTTCTGTTAGCAGGATTTTTCCTCTATATACGTTTTGGTTACAGAACTGTTAAAAAAATGTTATTAATTTTCCAGCATTCAGGTGATTTAGATACTGATGGTGGCAACCAAAAAGGAGGTTCTTGTGTGTGGCTAAAGTTTTAGAACACATATTCAACAACCTCATTCATTATTATGAATTCAGTTTCTGCCAATTCGATGTACACAAAACTGACCTTTTGCAGCTTCATTACAAGCTGCCACCCATGTTGCCACTAGTGTGTTTATAATATTTATAGTTTAGCAGGATGGGACCTTGATGTTAAGTTGACTTTCAATTGTATCCCAGCATTGGCATTTATATTCATTTGTTCCAGTTTTATGCTGAAAATATTGGTTTCCCACAGCAATGCCATTTCCTAGAGTCATGCACTTTCAACAAACTTAAGATCTGTGTTGGCAATAGTAGCGATAATGAATTTATCCAAATTCTGGCACATTTTGAAAAGTTTACTTTCTGAGAACTGTTTCCACAAAAGCAAGTATTAAAGAACATAGACTGCTGATGGCCACACAGTACCTTTTCGCATGAATTCATTTGTTGATGTACATCAACAATGCCTAAAATCTAAGGGGCAGTTTTATGGTCCCATTATGTGTTTTTGCAGGATATTTCATTACCAAATGAATGAAAACATTTGTCATAAGATGCAAATAGTTGTGTGGCGGTTGTATTTCCCTGCCATTTCATGCATAATCATTTGATGACAAATAGGGATTTCCCACATGCGTGTTTTATTGATTATAAAGCTGGTTTTAGAGTGTAAAGATGCTCCAAGCTATGCTTAAGGATTCTCTAATGATCATGGTCTTGTGCTTCAATTGTGATAAACCATCTTTATTCGGAGTCTTTGTGTTTGTAATTGGTGCTGCCACTTGATTCAATAGGTTTGTTTAATGTCACCTTGTGAAGTTTTTAACTTTATTGGTCTGTAGATTGGTTCAGTGTTGCATCTGTTAGCTTAATTACGTTGTTTTGATAAGTGGTACAGCTATTACTGTTATCACTGAGTTTATCATAATTGTTCATCACTCATACATCATTTTGAATGTCATAGGTCATCTTTTGACTGATGACCAGTGTGCTCATATGGGACATATAGCCCCCCCGGTATTGCCAGTGGTTGGCAGTTGCTACGGCCGTCCGTGTTGTGCTTATGGCTGTGTTCACCATGTGATGTCAGACTTGTCTCCCTTGCAGCCAGACCGGTAAGAAGCTGATGGCGAAGTGCCGCATGCTGATCCAGGAGAACCAGGAGCTGGGCAGGCAGTTGTCCCAGGGCCGCATCGCCCAGCTAGAGGCTGAACTCGCCCTGCAGAAGAAGTACAGTGAGGAGCTCAAGAGCAGTCAGGATGGTGAGAGCTTTTCTATTCTCTGTAGTCCTTCTGTACAACCTGCATTATTACTGTCTGCTTTACTATGTTTTGTAAGGATGCACTGAAATGGAATTTTTAGGGCAGTAACGATAACTGAAAATACCTGATACCAGTATGATAACAAACTGATACCAGTGACTGTTTGTTATTTATTTATTGCTCTTTAAAATAAATTTGCATCATAATCAGCCCCAATATTGCCACTTACAGTTTCAGTAGCAACAACAAAAAATAACAATACCATGAAGCAATTTCTGATGCACACATGTGCTACTGAGAGGCACTTGCATGTGCACCATTAGATGAACTAAAGCAAGCCACATTTCAGTGTTAAGATTATTTCGTGCTTGTGGCAGGCAGTAGTAAAAATGCTTGTTGCAAAATCGTAATACTAGTATTTCAATGGGATTCATGACCAAAAAATAGAAGGTGGATTAGTATAAATATCAGGATTTATTAGGCCTATTGTAGTAAGGTTAGATAGGATTTTATCAGTACTCTGTATCACCAGATACTTGAGGATCAGGTGACATTATTGGAAGGGGAGAAAGTGGAATCTGTGCATCCCTTATAACCAAAACATAGTTACAAGTCAGTTGTAAAGCATTTTTTGTAAGCACTCCTGCCTAGATGTGGAGTGACTACATCTGCGTCAGTGTGCACAAGCTAAAAATAGGTATTAGTTGTAATTATTGGCATTAATTCCAATATCAGCCTAAACCGTAATTAAATTTCCCATCAGTAACATCAGTGGCCGATATCCTGCACCCGTAACTTTCTGTCAGGCCTATGTCCCAGTATTGTTTTTGTAGTTACATTTTATTTAATTTTTATCTGAAATCATGCTAATTTTTTTGTTTTAATTATTTCTGTTTTGTTATTTAGAGCTCAATGACTTTATCATTCAGCTGGATGAGGAGGTAGAGGGCATGCAAAGCACCATCCTGGTTCTGCAGCAGCAGCTGAGGGAAACCAGGCAGCAGCTGTCTCAGCAAACCCAGGCCCAGGGCAACTCTAGTGGGGCCGGTCCCAGCAGGACTTCCCCCTCTCCCCCCTCCGCCTCAGAGCCGCCCTCTCAAACTGAAGCAGCGCCCACTGCCAGCTCTGCTGTGGGGAAAGACTGCGGGAGGGTGTCAAACGGACCCTCCAATGGGAACTCGTCTCAGAGAGGTGCGTCTGGGTCCAGTCTGTACCGCGAAGCAAGCAGTGCAGATGAGGATTATCCACTGTCGCCCTCAGTCTCCAGCCCCACCCATGGGGGTGTGTCAAAACTCTCCAACCACTCAGAGGATGCAGCGAGCCAAGGCGGTGGGGAAGGTTATGTGACTCAGCTCAGTGCAGGTTATGAGAGCGTGGACTCTCCAACAGGCAGCGAGACATCAGTGACCCAGCACTCTAACGACACAGACTCCAATGCTGACTCCCACGAGGCTGCTGCTGTCTCCAAGGGCAACAGGACGACAAGCACGCGCCACAGTGCTCAGAATGGCCTGGACTCTGCTGCAGCTGCTGCTACGGTTGCCACCAACTCCTCAGTAGCCTCCAATGCCTCCACAGGGTCGGTTTTGTAATATTCTTAACATGTGTTTTTGTTGTTGTTTTTTTATACTCATGACAAATAAAAGCCACACATTTAGGGCCAGTTAGGTTTTGCTTAAGACATTGAAAATCCAAGATGCACATTTTTTTTAAACCTCTTTGTCATAACTCTTCTTTTGCAACATTTTTGCAACATTTCAGAAATGACGTTGAGCACCAGACAAATGAATACATAGATTTGATTGGATGTTATTTTTTCCCCCCTTTTTTAAGGTTTTAAAACTTTCTCTCTTTGCAGCCTCAGCCATGTGAACACCACTGTTTCTGTAAGCTTAATTTGCTCACTCACTAAAGACAGAAGTCCTTTATCAACTTTTGTTGTACCATAATGCTTGATTAAGACGTGAAGCTGCAAGTTATTTCTTCACATGCCATGCTGGTTCAGGTTGTCCTTAGTTTCTTGATGTTAAACTTTTTAAAAATTCTGTTTTTCTGTTCTTCCCTATGACAAGAGAAGTTTGTTTAATTTGTGTGTAGTTTTTTTCTGAGATGTATCTTGTCAGATTCATATTCTGATTTCAATTCATTTCATGTACTGACCAAATATCAATAAAGGCTTTTAATGACACTAGCATCACTTCAAATTTATCTAAATGTTAGGCAGCTGGTTTGAGATTACTTGAGCATTACATATACTAAAAGCAGTGTTCGTCCAAGGCATTTGGCCTTTTAAGCTAGGGGTAGTTTAGTTCCAAAGTGCCTTTGAGACAGTATGTTGAACATTACCTGAATGATGAACTGATTAAGCAACTATACAAAACTTACCAAATAAATAATATAATGTTGTAGATAAATTACAGCTTAAAAATATACTTGTCAAGATGCATACATGTCAATTTCAAAGCCACTGTTTTAAGTACATGCACAAAACATGTTCTTTTACCGCAAGAGAAAGACAAGCTGGTCATCCAGGCCTGTAGATGGTGCCAAAACGAGGCTTACTGGATTTTGCCTCAGTCTATGATCCTCTCTAACAAATGAAAGCAGCAGCATGCTAATCAGGATCCTCTGTGGGAGGGCAGTCAGCAATAAATGGACCGGGACTGACTCATAGCGAGTATAGTGTATGTAGAGTCAGCACTGAACGGAGGAAAATGAGCACCGAGCCAGTTGTAATAGTGTCTGCTGCCAGGACTCCTGTAGGTAATGTCGCTCACTCTTCTCGCACTTCTGAGCAGTTGTCGGCTGACAGGTTGGACAAGGAAGCAGTGCACGTCTAATGTTTGTATTGTAGATTTGACTGACGACAGCACTGAACGGCGTTTCTCTACATCGCTCTAATGCAAATGTAGACATATATATTTTTAATTAGCTAATGCTTTAATCTCGTCACTGACAGTGTTGTTTTCTGTCAGCGCCGCGGAGTCGTGGAGCGGCTCTCATTGGCTCGTTAACGTTCTCTTCAGTTTCCCCCAGCCGTGATTGGCTGAGCTACAGTAGGACGATGCCGAGCGGTGGCTTCTGATTGGCTGAACACGAACCACCGCTGATGATCTGAGCGAAGAGTTTGGTGACGTCGGACTATAGAATTGATGATAATGAAAATGTCAGAACATTAAATTATGGGTTGCTTCGCGCGCTGCAGTACGTTTATTTACAGTGTGTGTTTTATTTGCTGTATTACAAAACACCTCACCTCATTGACACTGAGCCTAATCATATTCAGGCTAGAAATATTTTGCTGAAAACAAATATGATAAAGAAAAAAACTTTGTGTTAACACGTGAAAATGTTACAATATACGGTGTAAAATATACAACCATTTTAAAGACTAATATTTGTTTCTTTCATTGAAAGGGTCATTCAATGGGGCATTAAGCACTGTACCAATTCATGACTTGGGTGCAGTAGTCATTAAGGATGTACTGAAGAAAGCCAGTATAAAGCCAGAGGAAGTATCTGAAGTCATCATGGGCCATGTGCTCACTGCAGGTAATATTTTTTAATGTAACAAGCTTTTTGCATACATCTTGTCATAATTAGTCACTGGGTCTTTTGCTATTTTTTCTGAATTCCTGTATATTGAATTTGAAATAAACAACTGTGATGTTAATTCTAAAGAAGTACAGGACTGAAGGCTTAAGCAAGCCCATAGTGTGCTGAATCTTTATTCCTGCTGTCCTCAGGCCATGGACAGAACCCCACAAGGCAGGCTAGTGTTGGAGCAGGCATCCCATATCCTGTGCCTGCATGGAGCTGTCAGATGGTGTGTGGTTCTGGTCTGAAAGCCGTGTGTCTTGGAGCTCAGTCCATCATGACAGGAGAGTCCACTGTGGTAGTAGCAGGGGGCATGGAGAGCATGAGCCGGGTAGGTGACATTGCTGTGTTTTGGATTATTGTATTCTACTAGTCTAGTGTTACTCAAAATGTAATGCATTCAGAGACTCATGTCCAAGTTAATCCATTAAATGACCAGGAATTTCTAGTTGGTCCAGCTTCCGTTTATTATTCCTGTCATTTTTAAAATAACTCAGTTCACATTGATTTCCATTAGGTACCTAATTATTTGCCTTTTGGTATTATAAGCCAGGAATTTTATAGGGTTATGTCATTCAAATCTGATCCAAGAGATGTTGGCCTGTTTTGTCACTGTTTCCCACCACCATCGCAGCTCCTCCCCGTGGGGGTCTAGCCTTCAAGATCCAAGCAGAAGGTGCCCAGAACTCCAGCCCAAATTCTCTCCCCTCCCTCAATCAGTCTCCCCTCGTACTCCTCTGTAGTTTCTAAATGGAATTCACATGGCTAAGCTAAGGGTTGGCTATGTAATTAATTAATTAATTTTTCATCAGAATAATGGTAAAAGACAAAAATAAATGTAATAGCACCACTGAGAAATCATGTTATTAAAGAATAGTACATTAAAAGATAGAAACATCCAGTTATATTGCCGCAACATTAAAGAATTAAAGAGATATTTTGTGGAAATTGTGCATGTAAATTGGCACTGCACAAATGGGTAGTTGAATGTACTCATCAACTTGCACTTTAAACCTTAGGCACCTCACACCGTGCAAATGAGGTCAGGGATAAAGATGGGAGATGCTTCACTGCAGGACTCTATAGTGGCTGATGGACTCACAGATGCTTTTCACAACTGCCACATGGGTATCACAGGTAAGTCTGATCGGGAGTTTACAGTGGAATTCACAATGGCCTTGACCTTGATTAACAATGCTTTTATTCACATTAGACCTGAATTAGACTCTCATCTGGCAGCAACCATTTCTCAACCGTTGTACTTTAGCACAAAGGTTTTAGGGCCACTGACTGACAGTTCAGCTCTGACCACACAAGCACACAGAATGAGAAATAGATCTTATCTCCTTTTAGCGATCAGCCAGACGAACAGGTAGGTTTTTCAAGGTCACTGACATATGGTTATTGGGCTTCTTGTTGTCTCCTTGCAGCGGAGAACGTGGCTAAGCAGTGGGGTGTTACTCGAGAAGCTCAAGACCAGTATGCTGTCACCTCACAGAGCAGAACTGAGGCAGCTCAAAAGGCCGGCTACTTTGATCAGGAGATTGTGCCAGTTATCGTTCCTTCAAGAAAAGGTAATGTATCTGATGTTTTGGCTTGGTTTGGACAACATAAAACAAGTCTAATTTTTTATTGTACAGTGAGAGAAGTGGCCATCTCTTATATTAATGCAACTCATTGAAACTGTTAATTGAAGAAAACAAAAAAAAACAAATAATTTGAACAAAATTATTTGAACCAGTTATAAATGATTGTGATTAAATTTTTTAAATCCTTGTTAGGTCCAGTAGAAGTGAAAGTTGATGAATTCCCTCGTCACGGGAGTAACATAGATGCCATGTCTAAACTGAAGCCCTGTTTTGTGAAGGACGGGTCTGGTACAGTCACTGCTGGCAATGCATCAGGTAGATACACATCACTGAACTTCACTGAACTGCACTGATGATTTGACTGAAATGGCACCAAGGCCACTCACTGCTAAGCGTTGCTCAACAAGATGAACATGTATAATAATTGATAAAAAATGTGCAATAGATAATAAACATTGTCCCACATCTCCTCTGTGGTGCTCTGTGCTGTTGGTTGTTTGCTGCAGTTGTTATTTCTGTCTTCCTCCCTCCTCACAGGAATAAATGACGGTGCTGCAGCCACTGTTCTCATGAGCCAATCAGAGGCTCAGAGGCGGGGCCTTCGGCCAATGTCACGGATCATCTCATGGGCTCAGACTGGCCTTGACCCATCCATCATGGGCACAGGGCCAATTTCAGCCATCAGAAAAGCAGTGAGTGTGTCTTTATCAAAATAATAAAACTATTGAACTGTTACTATTAAACTGTTAAAATAATAAAAAAGTTTGTCCAAAATGCTGTATATCCATTTTGTAACAATGTTTTTGAATGTTACATGTTTTTGAATTTTTATTTCTCTAATAAAGGTGCTATTAATCATAACATAGCATTGATATTTCTTGCATGTATTAAGCAGACTCCCAACAATATATATCATGGAAAAAAAGAAATTCTTGGAAGTAGTCTATAATGCATTTTGGAATGAATCTCTTTTTATATATACGCATTATTATTATTATTATTATTATTATTGAAAATGTTTCCATTTTGCTACTGAAAATTTACTCTTGATTGATTTTAAAATGGTTGCCTTGATGTAGATTTTTACAGTTGTTAAGAGACACTTTTCGAAAAGATCGTTCTTCAAGGGTTCTTTAGTAAAGAAAATGGTTCTATAAAGAACCATTAACACTCAAAGAACCCTTTGCATGATCAAAGATGGTTGTATATAAAACTCTTTTGAAAAGGGCTTTATATAGCACCCGAAAGCATTCTTCTATTGTTTCTATTATGTCAAGCTTGTAACAATAGAAGAACCCTTTTTCAAAAAGGTTCTATATAGAACCATCTACATCACATTCTCCATCAATCAGCAGAACACTTTCTTGATGCAAAGAACCCTTTAATTATGCAAAGGGTTCTTTGAGTGTTCATGGATTTTAAGAACCATTTTCTTTGCTAAAAAACCCTTGAAGAACCATCTTTTTTAAGAGTGTATGTTTTTGTTTTGTTTTGTTTTGTTTTGTTATTTCTCTGTAATTGTTCTCTGTTATTGCTGTGATTAAGCATTCATGTCCTCTCTCTCACCAGATGGAGAAGGCAGGCTGGCAGCTGGCTGAAGTGGATCTGTATGAGATCAACGAAGCCTTTGCTGCTCAGTGTGTGGCAGTGGTGCAGGAGCTTGGCCTGAACCCAGAAAAGGTATTTCATTTCATTCCATTCATTCTATTCATAAACACACACACACACATATATATATATATATATACACATAGATGCAAATACACTATATGGCCAAAAGTTTGTAGACACCTGTCCATCCAACATTTCTTCTGAAATCAATGGAATGAAAAGGGAATTTGTGCCCTCTTTGCTGCAGTCACAGCTTCTATTCTTCTGGGAAGGCTTTACACTAGATGTTGTAACATTGCTATAAGGACTTGATTGCTTTCAGTCACAAGAACATTAGTGAGATCAGGTACTGATGTTGAAATAAATAATTCTTGATCACAAACACCACTCCAGCTCTTCCCAGAGCCTTCTAGTTTGAAGCAAAAAAGTTTAAAGCTGAATTAATGAAATCATCTACTATAAGGTGCACCTATTACTGACAAATCTTGTAATTAATCTCCAATAATTAATCTCCAATAATTAATAATTAATCTCAATGCATAGCCAATAGAATGGGATGATCTTGAGCAGCCGCAGCCGAAGGCCACAATGTCCAATGCCAAGTGTCAGCTAGAGGAGTATAAAGTTGGGCTGTGGAACAGTGCTCCACTGCTTTAAACTAAAAAAGCAGAACTCCAGCCCAGGTTCTCAGAGTTCTCTTCACTCTGACAGTCATACAGTCTCCTTTAACACTCCTACCACATGTTGAAGAGTCCGAATTAGTAATTTAAAGTCTGCAAGTTGAGGCTTTTGCATAACATCATAAAATCTTCTGACAATCGTTGTTGTGCCTGTACTGATGCCTGTCCTGTCTTGTTTTTGGGCTGCAGGTGAATGTTAGCGGAGGGGCTATCTCTTTGGGACACCCCCTGGGTATGTCTGGCTGCAGGGTGCTGGTGACCCTACTGCATGCACTCCAGAGGACCGGGGGCAAAAAAGGGGTCGCTGCTTTGTGTATCGGTGGTGGAATGGGAATTGCTATGTGTGTAGAGAGAGTCTAAGATGCTCCTTTCTCACACAATCAGATACTTCAATCAATACTTACAGAGCAGCTGCTGTTATAGAAGCCTGAATCACATGTTTGAATTCTACACTAATTAATTGTTTTCCATTCATGAGCTTTATTTTTCTAATTCAGTCATTTTGAAGCAATCTCCAGAAAATCAATAAACACTGTTATTTCATAAAAATCCAGATATATAAAAAGATATATAAAAATCCATAAGGCATGCTGTACAACTTCCAGGACATAAGAATATTAGTGGAGCATACTAACTCTAGTTACCTCTTTGTCTGATGTTTATTTAGAGCGCAATGTTGGTGATGAAGTTAAAACCTTAAAATGCCTACAGTGAACCTAAAACTGACTGAGCAGTCTTATACTGTGTGTAGTATATGAAACGTATTAATGTTGAAGCCTTCAGACATTCCATTTCACATTAATCTAACCAGGGAGGCTATACTGTTGTCCTGTAGGAGCTACACAGTATGGCTAACTTTTCTGTGAAACAACGCCACGGCCTCCTTTAGAGCTGCCACTAGCAGTCGTCCAATACACGTTAGTGAAGTGTTATGCAAGAAATGTCCACTGTTCTGGTCCTCAGAGTGAGAGTACACGCAGTAGAACAGAACCAAGAAGATACAATAGAATTGCCTTAGACTACTGTGTGCCATAAGGCTGAACTAGCCTCTGTCCTGTGCTTCCTGTAGTCAGCTTTGTGAACAGTGTAATGCTGAATACTGTAATATGCTGGTGTTGTCTTGAAACCTCAAGGGAAAATGTGTTTACATATCTAACCTCGACTGTATTTCCTCAATAAATAGAGAATGCAACGTGAGACTTTGTGCTCTGTCATTTTGATAACATGTGCCGTTTTTCTAGAAAATGTGTGTACTGTACAGTGTTACAAGTTCTTAATTACGCTGTAAAAGCAGTGCAGCTGGAGTTTTTAAACACCTCAGTGTCACTGCTGGACTGAGAATAGTCCACCAACCAAAAATATCCAGCCAACAGCGTCCTGTGGGAAGCGTCCTGTGACCACTGATGAAGGGTTAGAGGATGACCAGCACAAACTGTGCAGCAGCAGATGAGCTATCATCTCTGACTTTACATCTACAAGGTGGACAGACAAGGTAGGAGCGTCTAATAGAGTGGACAGTAAATGGACACAGTGTTTAAAAACTCCAGCAGCACTGCTGTGTCTGATCCACCCAGACCATCACAACACACACTAACACACCACCACCACGTCAGTGTTGCTGCAGTGCTGAGAATGATCCACCCCCCAAATATATATATATATATAAATAAAATGATGAACAGAGCTATTGACTGATAACACTGATAAGTTATAATACAATATAGTATTTTTTTTAATAAATGTTAAATTATAAAACATCTTAAAATACTTTTGGCGAATGATTACTTTAGTACATTAGTACTGTATTATTAAAAGTGGATTCAAACTTTAGAACGGTAGCATAATCATTAGAGTCATTTCCACCTTAATGATATTATGCAATGTGCAAGAATAATAATAAAAACTGAATTAATTTAGTTTCGTAAATGTAATACATTCCAGACCGTTTGTAGAGAAGCGGCCCTGGGTTGATGAGAGCGAGCGAGAGAGATAAACAGACAGTAGGTGGCGCCAAACTATAAAGAGTAACACAGATATCAGTTTATTGTGTGTGGCAGGCCACAGAGCTGAAATAAATGTACATCGGCTGTGTACCCTGTAACTATGTACAGTGTGGGCTCTGACTTTATCTCAGACACTGTAGTCTATATATCTGCATGGGCAAACAGGGCTAAAGCTGGATTTGCCATAATGACCAATAAAAAGACAGACAGACAGCAGAACAGAAGGGTCAGAGCCGGTGTTTTGCCCCACCGGCCAAATAGGCTAGTGAGCGTCGGACTGCCCGTGAGAAGGCGGCTAATCGGATTAGACTCCAGCACTGGACCCGAGGAATAGCGGAATGACTTTACTTTCTCCACAAACAGCCTTATAAGATGCCGCTTTTTATTAACAGAGACCAGATTTTTGCTCATCAAGTGCACCTTCTAGAGCACAAACTTCGGGTAAGTGACTTTTCGAGAGGCTGTACAACATCTAGCGTTAGCAAAGCAACCTGTCCCAGAGGACAGTAAAGTTAGTTACTCAGACACCACATCCACAATGACCGTCGTGTTCCCAGTGGACAATGTCTGTGGTAACATGAATGATAAATATCTGTATTTAAACTCATTCAAACGCGTTTTCCTTTTTGTTCCAATTGAATTATATCCATATTCTGTTATTACTGTTGTTTAACAGAGTAAAGAGGAGCGGATACTGGAGCTGGAGACAGAAAACGCTCTTCTTCACCTGAGACTTGCTGAGGTAAAAACCTAAGTGATGTAGTTATGTAGAAAGTGGATGTAGGACTGAATAAAACGCTTAGCTTACTATGTTTTTATAACAGACATGACGGGATTTAATTAAATTTAGTTGTTTTAATGAAATTTATTTGTTATTTGTAACCAAATTTCCTTCCCATCTTAAAATATCTTCCCAGTGACTGACACTCAGCTAAATCAGTACAACTGACCAACGTGACAGTTTTACGCTTATGATTGATATGATTACCTTCTTTCAGCTCTGCTGCTGTTTGTTGTTGTTGTTGTTGTTTTATCAGTTTGTTAATAGAAAAATATGGCTAAATGGAAAGACGTGAACTTTTTTTCCTAGGGCAAATACAAAAACAGCTGATTATTTCTATAGCAGGCTTATAAAAATGTTATAAAGTAAATATAATATAAAATCCCAGTGACACTCTCTTATTGTAATATGTAATACTTGTGTAGTGTCCTGTATAATTATCCAAATTTACTGTATGATCCTTATAAGATGTAGAAGTTCCTTTAGTGTTTCCTTTAGTGTTTCTGTTGAAATAAAAACACAAAAACATAAAAAGGCACAGTTCCCCGGCTCTCCATAGCTTAGCTAATAATTCCTTTAACTGGATATTTTATCTCCATCTGTAAACTGGAGACGGACTCTGTATGTGTTAGAGTTAAGGATTTGTTTCCGACAGATGGTTTCACTCAGAGTTAAGAGGTTTGCCCCCAGACGACAGGTGTTCAATGGTACTTGATTTCCTTACCGACAGAATGAATGGATTTTCAGGTTAAACCTGAGGGCTTGATACCAAAGGCTCTGATTCAGAGCTAAAATCTCAGGTTTATTATACGTTCAGACTAATTAGTGAATTCAGCTACCTTAGGGTGCACACTTTGCAGATGCAGGTGTGCACACACACAACTTGTATTCTCAATAGGTAAGACTTACTTGAATGGGATGCTCTGAAGCTGCACATGAGCCTAAGGTCACGATGCCAGCCTTCAGCGTAAAGGTTATAAAGCCCTCCAGTATTGCTCTGGTGAGCAATAAAACTGTGTTCTCTGGAGTGATGGAGCTCCATCCAATATGTTTGGGATGAGTTGGAGTGGCATTTGTGATACAGAACTGATCATCCAACATCAGCAATTGACCTCACTAATGCTTGTGTGGCTGAATACAATTAAATCCTCAGAAATGTTCATCTAGTGTTAATCTAGCATATAGTGTAAAGTTTTCCCAGAAGAGTAGAGGCTGATACTGCAGCAGAGTGGGACAAACTACCAATTAATACCCTTGATTTGTGGAAAAAACACTGATAAGCAGGTGTCTACAAACTTTTGGACATTTGGTGGATTAAAATATATTTAAATTGTCACGATAATGCAACAATGCCAGTTTTTGTGCCTTTTTTTTGGGTTGTTCCAGTATCACCTAGTTAGCAATGACATACATCTTAACTTTTTCAAGTGCATGGGGAAACTTCGGCGGGATCAAGAGGAGGAAATATCAGCAAAAAGGCGCTGTCAACACCAGGGAAATGTGCAAAAACGGACTCGCACTGCCCTTGCCGTACTCCTCTTGGAAGTGCAGGTAAGGCCACAAAACAAAGAACTGAACCTTCTTGTAAAATTCATTTTGCTCATCATGATTGTGTGGCATGTCAGTAATTTTAAGGGAGTTGCTATTCTAATGCTGTTTTCAGACTCTGAAACAGGATTTGCGAGATGTTTTTGCTGTATACGTGAGCTTTGCCACAGAACTGGAGAAGCAGAGCAAGCAGCTGTTGGAGCAAGTGTCTAGCACAGCTGTCCAGGTTTACCAGAGTGATGACATCCAGAGTGAGTTTTTAAAGCAATAAATTATTTATTGACCTTCACATCTTTGATGTTTTATCCAGTGTGTTACTTCTGCATCAACACTGGTGTACATTGTAAAACAGGACATGTTTACTATGACTTTTCAGTCAAAATATACACAGAGTACTTAGTATGATTGGATTATACCTTATGGCCAGGTCACCTGCTTTGCTTGGTCAGGACCCTTGGACCCCCTAATACTCTCTTCTTTAAATCTCAAAACCACTCTCCACTACTGTCCTTCCATCTGGTCATCTCTCTCACTCCACCTCACTCATATCAATCCACAGTGTTATGTACAGTCAGTGGTGTGTTGTGACAGAAGCTAAGAAGGGTGTTTCAGAACTAATCCCTCCTGTCCCCCTCCCCCTAGCCCTGCTAAAGCTGCTGTCAGCAAGGTCATGTGTCCTATGCGTCACCTGGACTCCATGGTGACAAGCTCCCACAAGACTTGTGGTTATTATCCTGTCACCCACATGCACACAGATGCAAAGCTCTGAGTCATCTTTCACTTACTGCAATGAGCCTGAGCTCTTCACCCTCTGGTTAATACACTGTGAGACAACAGCTCACATCTTTTTCGACCCTAGCCTTTTATCAGTGGGTAGTTTGTCACTGTAGGACCACTGCTGTAGGACCACTGCTGGCTGGGTATTTTTGATAGACACACTGGTCTCAACCCAGCAGTTACACTGGGCTGTTTAAAAATGCCAGCAACGCTGCTTCACCCGATACACTCATACAAGCACCAGACACTAACATGTCAGTACAATTTTAGTTTTACTATTGTGCTAAGAATGGTCCACTACCCAAATAATATATGAGATGGTCCTGTTGTGATCCATTCCATTGATTGGCCTACATACTGTAATTTTAAATCTACAAAGTGCCCCTATATGGTGGGTGTTTTTGATAAAATGTCCAGTGAGTTTGAGTACAAGGCAAGTGTACCTAATAAACTGGAAATTTTGCAATTAAACTTTAATATTTGTCACCACAGGTTACAAATAGGGATGCACAATGATATCAGAATCATACCGGTATTGGCAGATAATTGCTTATCTGTGCTGCGCAGATGCTTGTATATATATATTTCAGCCGATTTGATGATTTATATATATCTGTAGTTTATTCATTTTACTTTATTTATAACCCTCTACAAATAGCACTACATTTCTCTGGAATAGTGATCCAAGTGGATCTAATCTATATTTTATAAATGTTTATGTATTGGCATCAGATACATACATGAAATATATCAGGTATTGGCAACAGCCCACAATTCCCATATTGGCGCATCCCTGTTTATAAAGCTATTGGTTGTACGGCTCAACAATTCTGAATGGTTTTAAACATGCAGTTGCAGTCAGTTACAGAAGACCAGGGAAGGATTACTGGGCAAATCCATGGTCTTATAGAACAATCAGTTTTACATAGCACAGCATGGTGCTGAGAGACTTGTCAGGAATCTAATCTCAGCTTCAGACTGACATTGAGCCAAATGAGTACAAGCAGATCTCTGATGAGTATTGTGGCTCATGATTTGTCTTTATTCTCTGATTAAGATGAAGAGTTCATATTCTGATTTTATCATGATGTAGTATAAGATGGATTTTGATAAAATTTGACAGCTCACTTCAAGTCATGGATTGTAGGTATAAGTATGTTTATTGTGTATTTGGCTCTTATAGAGCTCCACACTCAGGTGGCTGTTCTGGAGCGCTGCCTACAGGAGGAGAAGGAGAGGTGCAGAACAGAAAGGATGAGGAGGAGGCTGCTACACAATACGCTGGTTGTAAGTGCCTGACTCAAGGAGCTAATCATGTTTTGAGACATAAACAAATGACTACATTGCAGTTAACTCACCATTTAACCATGACATAGAATGAGATAACTTTATGGTACGGGCTGTATGGGGCATGGCTCTGGTACTGCAGTAGATGACATAAATATAAATAAAAAGACACAGCTGCTGTTTAGATAATGCTTTTCATAACTTCTGTTATGAAGGGTTAGAATACTAATTTTTGTACATTTCACACATTTTCACCCCTTGAACCACAGTCGTATTACTGTAACTACTGCTATAAAGCTATAAAAACTAAAAAGCTATAAAACTAATATGTTAGTTGTGCGTATATGAAGTGAGGAACTGAAGTGTGGGCCCACCAGTAGGACCCTTAGCTTCCTCAATCTCCAGACTGGATACTCTAAAAACAAATGTTTTCTGTTTACTAAATAACATAATGCATGAATTCTTTTTTGTTTACTGAGAAACATATAATATTTAGTGTCCAGTATACTAGACATTTAGACTTGAAATGTGAGAGAGAGGCTCATGAAATGTGACAGTTTTTGAAAAATGAACATATTTATTATTACCAACATAACAAGACACAAAGCAAACATTTAATTTTTTTCTGTGTACTGTATGTACAGTTGCATGGAATGCTTTCTGAACTCTTGGAACTACCTGGACTTCTGCATGAATAGCTCCTGAAATATTAAATAATTTTCCTAAGTATTTTGATATTTGATAATAAACAAAGAGCTTTTTAACACAAAGCATATATATGCAGATTTACATTAATGTATTTAAAATGAACAAATTGTTGAAACAATCAAGATCATGGATAAAAAAGTAAGAAAACATCACAAAAGCTATTATGTATTCCATAGATTTATATGTAATATTACACATCTTACATACATTTCATGGGCTTTTTATATATTTATATTAATGTCACTGACAGAAAAACATTTCTGTGTTTCAGAAATACAAGGAATTTCTGTGTCTTTGAAACACAGGGAATGTTTAGTGTTTCATTTGGATATGTTATCCTGACAATAATGAATATGTTAATTTTTCAAAATCTTGCAGGTTTCATGCACCTGATTCCAAAGTCCAGTATAGATGAAATCCATTAAAAATAAATAAAAACAATATTATAGCAAAATTCATAGATTATCTACTGTCACTCCTAAATATTCTACAATTAACAAAATAAACAAAAATCTTGAATGACTGTGTTTTGTAAAGCAGGAATCTATTATACTAATCAAAGCTTAATTTACTACAAATATAAAATAATATAAAAGTGAGTGTGCTTTGGTATTATAGCTGCTATAAATGGGGGAAAAAACTTCTAGTATACTGGATCTTTGGAATGAGAAGGTTAGAATTTATCTTGATGTGCTTTAAAAACAGTTCACCCTTTTTAAACGCTTCAATTTCTTTTTTTGTCAGGAGTTGAGGGGTAATATCAGAGTGCACTGCAGGGTACGCCCCATCCTGCCTTTTGACTACAGTCAAGGTCAATCAACTAACGGGTAAGACCCACTTTAAATCTTTGTGCAGTTGCGCTTTTTTATCAGTGCAGATGTAATTTCTGTTACCACTTTCACCAAACAGTATTTACGGGAATGTAATTGTGCTTAGTGTGCAGAGGAGCTAGAGCATGTATTAAATCATGCTTTACTGTTCAAGGTCCTCATCATCAGAGGTGGTGGTGCAGGCTTTCAGTGATGTGAGTGAATTGATTATTCTAATATGTGATCTTATGTGATCTATAAAAGTACCGTGGCCACTATTGACCTGCTTTGTGATTTAATTATGTTGCACTTGTTTATCAGGATTCTGTTCTTGTGAACTGCGCCAAACCTGGGAGTCCAGTGGTGAACAAAATGTTTGAGTTTGAGAGGTACTTTGGCAAGTTCATCTGTTCTGGATAAATTTGAATGGCTTTATGGAATAATAGATATGCACTGCATTACTGCAAAGCTTGAGGAGGGGTGTTTTACTGTGTGTCACTATGGTGATTTAATATACAGAGTTCATGGTCCCGAGGACACCCAGGATGTTGTGTTTGAAGAGGTGAAACCCCTTTTAACCTCTCTCTTGGATGGGTGAGTGTAGTTTTGGCTGAATACTTTATAGTATAGAAGTATAGTAGTAGTATAGAAATTATTTTAAAAGTACTTTGACAATAAATAGATTTTTAAAAAGACCAAACAATAAAAATAAACTTGGAAAGATAAACTGGGAAGTATCTTTTTTATATTAAAAAGGATAACCAGCTGGAAAACTTGAAGTAGGCATAGTCATCATAAAAGTTCCCAACTAATTATTGGCAATTATGTGGCTCTTTTTTTAAATTGAGTAATCAAGCTTGGGTCAAGTAATTGTGACAACTCTCCAGTGTTAATTACCTCTCTCTATAGTGGGCAGATTTCACAGAGTTAGCTGGTCTGTTCTGTTGGTGTTGAGATGTTCTGATGTAATGGTCTTACTCCCCCTCATGTTCAGGTATAATGTGTGCATCATGGCCTATGGGCAGACAGGCAGTGGAAAGACATATACGATGATTGGATCCCAACCTGAGGACCTTACAGTCCCTGTACACGACTCAGAGCAGGGCATCATCCCCAAAGCAGCAAATGAGTTATTCAAGTAAGGCATTAGAAAGTACATCACTTCTGCTTTACTGCGAGGCCAAGTGGCCTAAAGCATAGCATTCAGTGCATTTTATATCAATAATTACAGTATATTAGTTATCTTCTGCAATATCTATCTATTTGTTATTCCTCATTTATCTTGCCTTGTTCCCTAAATACTGGAAATTTTTTGAATGGCCGTTGTATATATCAGGATATCTTTGAATGTCTGCTGGTACATGTGTTTATTTGTCAGGTTGATCTCAGAGAAGCCTGCAGAGAGTCACACAGTGGAGATGTCTGTAGTGGAGGTTTATAATAATGAGCTGCTAGACCTCTTGGCCAAAGATGAGGAGGGAGCCACAGTGGGGGTGAAAAGAGAAGTCATCACAACCAGCACAGGCACCAGTGAAGTGCCCTGTCTTACACACGAGTGAGTAATGCTGCCAGCCAACATCATTCAACCTCTGCTCACACTTCTAACCCTAACAAACCTGACGTCTCACTGGTGATACCTTTAGTGACTTTGGCAAATTACACTGGACATTTTAAAATGGAGGGGTTAATGATGGTAAAATCATTGTATCACTTTGAATCACTTATTGTGTTTATGAAGCAGTGTCACCTGATAATATACACATGTTCAAAAAATAATTTAATCTATTATTATTAATAATAATAATCACTGTGAGTAGTAGGTTGTTGGTGCCAAGCAAAACAAAGATCAAATATTATTCCATGAGTCATTTTTATTCCAAATGTGCCATTTTATGTTTTTTTTTTCAGTATGTTTAATCCAGTAAATGAACAGTAATTGTGCATTACGATGTGCAGCGGTGTGTTCTCTACAGAAGATGTGTTAACTTATTTCCTCTTACTTTACATGTAATTTGACAAGGTGTGCCAAAACCTTTGCATATGTCTGTATGTGTACATTGAGTATTTTAACAAGGTTGCTAAACTTATTGTGTTTAATTATAGCTGAGGGTGTGTGTGCATGTGTGTTTTGTGTCAGGTCGGTTGAAAGCTGTGCGGAGGTGATGCAGTTGATCAGTGCAGTGTTGAGGTTGAGGGCTCACAGCCCCACACTGGTGCACAGAGACTCCTCAAGATCCCACCTCATTGTCACCCTCACCGTCACCTCCAAAAGCCCCAATGCTCTGGCACTGGGTATGGCTGTTTAACACACGCACACACACACACACACACCCTCAAGAAGGGTCAGTATCCTTATAGTAGGTATAATAGGAACACTCTGTCTCTCACACACACTCTCCGAGACCGTCATTGCCATGAAACCAGGTCTAATCGAGTGTCTCTTTCTCTCACTGACATCAGATGCACACACGAGCACGCACACGCACACACACACATTCACATACTCTTTGCGAAATTGGTTGCGCTTTTCTTTTAGAACCTACTCCATCCAATATGAAAGAAACAGTTATCTAGTGCACACACAGTTACAGCACTTCAGTCAGTTCAGGAAAGCCTTATCTGAAATACCACACACTCTAACAGTCTTCTAAAGACAGCTTCATTTCTCACACAGCTCTAGAATAAGCTATCTACACATTCACATGCATGAACAATCCTTTATCAGGCCTCTACTGTTAAAAAAGAAAAGTTTAAGCTGCACTCCAGTAGTTTTCTCTTAGAAATTCTTCATAATTGGTTTCATAGCTGGCTGCATGATGAGGTGAAGAAGTCAAGATCATCTGTCTGTTAGAGGAGAAGCATGAATCTGGGCAGCAGAAGTGGCTCAATTTGATCAGATTTTGACTTGATTTGATTTTTATTTTCACACTGACTTGAGAAACTGGTTCCCAATGTGTCAATTATTTGCTCATGAATAAAATATGTTCAACACAGTTCTTTTTTATGTGAAACTGACACATGTGAATCATGAACTGTTTTCTCAGTCTAGCAGTTTTACAAAAATGAATTTCATGAGCATTTACATTGTTCACTACTCAATACAAATGAATATACTGACCCCACATAACAGAAAAAATGAATTTGTGAGAATTACAAAGGATAGCAGAAATACAAAGTAGTGTGTAAATCTGCAGTTATTACCATTAGAACTGGAATGGGTGCTATAACTGATATGATTGTGTAATGCTCTGTGTGTCTCTTCACTGATTGTGTCTTTGTATGTGTATTGCAGCTCGCAGGTTGCAGAGTGGGAGACAGAATGTCCACCGTGGCTCTCAGAAGGAGTGGTGGAGTCCACGCTGCCGCAGGGCCGCCTCCTCCCGTCCCTCTAGCCCTGCGTCCTCCCCATACCACTCACCCTGCCAATCACCATGCCCCTCCCCTCGGCCCAGCATTTCCCAGACGCCCATCAGAACAAAGCTGCAGCTGGTTGACCTGGCTGGCAGCGAGTGTGTGGGTAAGCAAGGAGACAGATTCATCAATTCAATTCTTTATGTAAAGCAGGTTTTCTTTCACAGTAGATTAATCTTGCCGTTTAGGCACACAATATACATGCACACACATCAGATGCACACACGAGCGTGCACACGCACACACACACATTCACATACTCTTTGCGAAATTGGTTGCGTTTTTCTTTTAGAACCTACTCCATCCAATATGAAAGAAACAGTTATCTAGTGCACACACAGTTACAGCAAAGTATGTCCTGTGAATAACTTTCCAATATTCACTAAATGGCCGATGAACTTTGCCAAAATTCTCTTCTTTTGGTGTAAACTGGGCAGTCCCTTACTTAAGCAGGATCCTCACCAATCGTAAGTCTGATGTGGCTCCTCCTGCCCAGACCACCCTAACAAAGCTGTGTTCCTCTATAATCTCTCTCTATTCAAGTCAGAAAAAGCAGGGAAACTAACAACCAAGTGAAAGCTAACCTAGCGAGCATAAGTTAGCTTTCAGGCCTAGCTCATCTGTGTGCCTGCTGCCTGTCGGTTCATTCAGCCGGCCACGGCCACTGGATTCACATTCAGCAGTAAAGTGAGTCTTACCTTCTTTAAGATGTTGCCACATATTGCCGGATAATGTTTTTAGTGAGTCTGAATAAAAACTGAATAAATTCAGAAAATATCTGAATATTTTGACCACACCCAGACAGTTCTCCACGCTAGGTCTCGTAAGCGATTTGTAAGCCTTGATTTTAAGCCTCTATTTTGTTTTTTTCATTCCAACTTTGCTGAATGTTTAATACAATGCTCAATTTTACAGTCAGACATTTGTAATATTTTACACAGTGTTCCCTGGGACTTTAATGGACACGCCTTGACAGCTGGCCAGCAGTTTGCTTCTTTAATTTTGGTGCAGGAGCTCTCCAAGGCAAAAGAACATAAACAATAATGGAAGCTTATACAATTAGCATTGTGCAAACTGCGTACCTAAATTATTACAGACTCGTCTAAAACCAGATCAGTGTTGTTAAGTAAATTCAAATAGGCTTATGTGGTGTCTGACACTGTATGACATATTGTTGTCTGCAAAAGTGTGTCACAAAGCTTAAAACAGTAGCAGGAGCCATGTTGTACCCTGAAATTTGTATGTCCTTTTTTGCATTTTTATAGATAACTATATGTCATACAGTGTCAAAAAAAAATCAAAATCAAAACCATTTTCTTCCTGAGCAGCATTGTTTGTACATGTAATATGTTTTACATTTTTTTCCTGCACTTATAGATCTAAAAGGTGTAGATTTGTGTGATACTAAATCTACAGTACATGTGATTGTGTTATAGGCATGTCAGGGGTGAGTGGTGCAGCTCTGTGGGAGAACTCCTGTATAAACCGCAGTCTCTCTGCTTTATCTGATGTGCTGGGAGCTCTGGCAGAGCAGAGGCCACATGTTCCCTACCGCAACAGCAAACTCACCCACCTTCTGCAGGACTCGATAGGTGAGCACAAATGCAGTGCTAAACACATGACTTGGAGGCCTGTCATAAAAAATATTGTTGCTGTCCAAAAATAGTATATATATCCACATTTATATAGATTTTTATTTTTCTACATCTGTTAAACACGACAGTGATGATATACAGCCATATTCAAAAGTCTTTAGTCTTAAAAGAGTTTAAATTTTAAAACAATAAACCATAAAATGTTAAATGTGCCATAATGTTTGCAAATACCATATGTTGTGTTATATTATTTCTCTCAATATGTTAAATTCAGCAAAAATACAGTAATTGTGCATTAAAATATGCAGAAGTATGTTATGTGTAGATAATATGTGAACTTATTTTCACTTAAAACATCAACAAAACATTTGACCAAGGGCACGCAAAATATCATCATGTCTCATATGTTTCTAATAGTAACTTTACAGGAGAAAGAAAAAACTTTTTAACTTTCAATGTAAGTCAATCTAACAAGATTTTAGCCTAAGTCATGTTGGTTCATTCCTATATATCATGAATTTTGACACTGTTTTAGTCAAGCAAATAAGCAAATAATATTCAAAAAATGACAAAAATGGAGTTATAAGGTTTTGTTTGCCAACAGTGACTATATGCTAAGCTTAGTGTGATTAAAACATGGACCAGGCTGATACTGACTATTCCTTACACTGAGTTTTCAAAATATTTTGTGTGATGACAGCATAATGACAACAAAACAAGCATGAGTCACAAAATGTAAAAAAGACCCACACTGTTCAGGGGAGGAGGTAACATCTCAGATTAAGCATTTTGTTAGAAAGAGATATCATGAGATATTTAGATGGAAAGAGGGGAAAAAATGGAATGCTGATATTTTCAACAGTGGGAAACTCACATGTGGTTAAACTCAGGAGTGTCATGAAGAGGGCATTTCGAGTGTAAAGTCAGACTAAGCTGGCATTGTCTGTAAACAGGACTATAAATGTACTAGACTTTTATACAACTTGTAAATGTCTTTGTTTAGTCCAGTTTCTTAAGTGAATGGTAAATTGTACCACTTCAGTTTTGCATTAGTATGCTTTATAAGAATTTGTACATTCAATCCGCATATTCAATTTCAAACAGCAGACAGTTCACATTTTAATACTAAGGGGCTGTTAACGTAGTTCTAGGTTCCGAATATATGTTGAAAAGAAATTTGAAGAACAACAGCTCATTGAATTAGCTGTGAAATACACCAAATTCCTACCCACCTGTTCTTCCATTGGACAGAGATAAACTTGTGATAGAACAGTGTCAGGCTTTAAGTTTTAAGGTTGAAAGGGCTGAAAAGGCTTTTACTGCGTCTCCACTAAAATCTGTCTTTTTCTCTTGTCACCTAGGAGGGGACGCTAAGCTGCTGGTGATGCTGTGTGTGTCTCCCACTCAGCGCTTTCTGACTGAGTCTCTGCAGTCTCTGGGCTTTGGCTCCAGAGCCCGACAGATCCAGAGAGACCCGCCACGCAGGAAAAACACTGGAATAAAGATGAAGTAAACCAGCAGAGAGATCAGTGAAAGAGGCCACACCATAAAATCTGACAGAAAGGAAGGGTTTTACAGCTTAAGTGACTGGCCTGTGTGTGAGTTTTCGTGATAGGAGTTCTGGTCATGAGACTACAGAGTGATGGATCACATGCTGAACACAAGACATTGCATCTTGTTAACTGTGATGGTGTAAAACATTAACTGAAGAGTGAATAGTGTTGCATGTAAGTCCTGTATGCGTGGTGTGTTTTTAGTGTGATGATTTCAAGCTGAATACTGCGTACTTGAACCAACATGTTACACCTGCTTATAATTGAGTTTGGGTGCAGCAGATGGTGCTTTTGGTGCTTGTCTGACTGGCTTGTGTAACAGTGAGAGGCCAGATTACACCAGAATACACCAGAATGCGCATCTTTATTCAACAAGATGTTTACAGTTCATGCCTAATCTTGGGAAGATATAGACCCTGAAGTCACCAGTCTTTTCACTGAAATTCATTGCAATCACCTGATTTAACTTGTTCGATCTGTTGGTCTTCGTACTGTTGGTTAGTTATTTGCGTTGTGCTCCTGCTTTAATGGAATGAAACCTTGCAGGCACTTCAGCCTTTTGTGGATAACACTGGTGATGCCAGTCTTCTCAATGGTAGGTCTTAGCAGTAACATGTCTGCTTAAATTTGGGTGATATGGCAAAAATATAATATTGGGATACTTTAAGAAATTTTCACAATAGATGATACTTTACAATATTTATTTTTTCTGACATCTGATCAGTTGGAAAAGAGAAAAAAAAACAATAGTTCTTAGTTTTTAACAAATAATTAAAAAAAAGAAATAATAAAAACTGTGAACACTGATTTTTGTTCAATGTTTGGTATACTGTGTTACACCTTTCTATGTTTAGAAAAGCATACTGTGACATCATTTATTACGATAAAGGTATATGCTGTTATATTGTCCAGCCCTATGTTTCATGAGATCATTTTGAGAGTGAGTGGAGCACAAGATAATGATGGTGTTCAAACGTTTTGATGTTAAGCGGACATGCAGTACATGGTAGACTAGGCTTTTTTAGAATATCATACTTGTACATGTTGATGCCTTTTCACTGTAGCCCTATTTGTTGTTTATTGTGTGTGCTTTTTTTAGTTAAATATTCCAGTCCTGGAAGGACGGAGTCCAGCGTGGTTTGGTCATTTCCCAACAAAACTGTAGTGCTCTATGTTTGCACTAGAACGAAGGTGACCCGGCCTGGAGTCCAGTTTAATGTCCCTGCGCTGTGAAAACTGCACTGGACTCTGTGGTTGAGGAAACATGGCTTAGAAGATTGGATAGAAATTGGATTGGATTTTTTTTATGCACAATACATTATTTATTCCTTGACATCTCACCTTAATTAAAATGTTGCATACCGCTTCTTTTCCTGTCTGCTGTCTGTCTGATTCTTTTGGAGTTTCATAAACGGCCTCTCTCAGCCAATCAGATGTCACGCGGTCACGTGCGCGCAGCCTCAGTGTTGTAAACAGAGGAGCTGTTACGGAACAGTCAGTGTGCAGCGCTTATATCATCTCTGATACACACACACACACAGAGAGTGGCTGGAGTTCAAACACACAACCCTGCCTTGCTTTAATAGCCCGTTTTTTTCAAATTATCCTACATTTCAGCAGTTTTACTTCAGAAAAGGTAAGAAATTAACTTGGCTAACTCTCGCTAGTCTCGCTAGTAACGTTATGCTTTGTAACCCAGAAACGTTAAAATGAGCGTAGCTCTGCATTTCTGCTCCTGTTTTTGTTTCTGCATTACATGAAACAAATTAGCGAATTAATTTCATGCAGTGTCACGTTTGTATACTTGCTAGAGGTAACACCTTTAGCCCTGTAAAACTGCTGCACACCGGTGGTTTGAAGGTGGCTTCATATTCGCCAGCTGCTTGTTCGAGGTTCAGCCGTTCCACCTTAACGGGTGTAGCAGTTAGATTCTCGCGTCAGCTTCGTCAGGTAGGTGCAGGTAGATGGATGCTAGCGTCGGATGTTCAGGTGTTCAGATACAGAACCTGACCTTCTCAGGTATCGCGCTGCAGGGCTGCCTTGTGCCTAAAAAAGCTAAAAATGTCATTAGCAGTTCAACTTTCAGAAACAGTTGCCCTTACATTCATGGTCATCCTGAACCAAGCAAACCTGTTCTTTGCACACTACTGGTTTGAGTTGGGGGCGTGTCAACAACAAAGCAACTGTAGCTGCTGATAGCTGTTGCTGGTTATATTTCAGTTATTTATCAGCTGCACATGAACCCTGCAGGCTAAAATCATCCACACACCACAAAACAAAAATAAGTATATGTTACTTCTAACTGGATGAAAAACATTAACATTATTCCTCTCATAAGCACATCTGCTTTTTACTGCATCATCTACTTATTATTTTGTTGCATTTATGCAATATAAACGGACTAAACACAACAAACTCAAACAGAAAAGCATTTCGAGCACGTATGTCTTGTTTGTGACCAAAACCACTTGGACTAGGTATTGGCAATATGGCAAAAATACTGTGTCACGGTACTTCAAGACATTTTCATGATACATGATATGCATCACGATATTTAGTTTTTCTGAGATTTAATAAATTGTAACAGACAAGATAGCCTGCCATGTATAAAAATACTATACTACTACTACTACCAACTAATAATAATAATACTAATACTAATAATAATAATGAACCTACAACTACAATTATTTTTATTTAATGTTTTACAAACATTAGTTTGTAATGTAAATTTGGATTTAGTGCTGCACTAAATCCAAATAAACAGGCCTAATTATGCTCACTGTGTAATGTAACAAGCAGGTGGTCAGTGCTCTTTAAGTACTGACAATATCCACGGTATGCCCAGAAAACCATATGTTGACATTTAATAAAATATCGCCATGTTGCCCACCCCTAACTTGAACACAGATCAAGTCACACTTACAGCCTCTGAAGTTGCAAGTTTTTTGGCAAATTTCATCTTGTGTACATAAAATTTTAGCTATTATTAGTTTATTATATAAACCCTGCTCATTAGGGTTAAATATATGTTCATCAAAAAGTAACAAAGCATAGTGGCTTTTAAAGGAAATTTCTTTACCAATTGTTCTTTTCAAGTGTAGAAAATGATCAACCCAAAAAGAGTAGGAAATTACACAGCACAGTTTGGTAATTTACCTGCTCTAACACACCTGATTACACTTAACTGTTAATTGCCAGGTTAAGTGGGTGTGTTTGAGCAGGGAAGCCTCCAAACTGTGCTGGACACCGGCCCTCCAGGACCGGAGTTGTGCACCCCTGGGGTAGACCATCAGGAACAGAGTCACATTCCCTCTTAAATCCAGTATTTGAACTGAAAATTTCAAATGTGCTGCAAAAGTTAGAGTAGGTAATAAAATCATGATTATCATCAACTAACTGGTCAGTCCACAGAACGGTTCCCTATGCCTTGCAGAGCACACTGCATATGGCTAAATATAAATGGCTTTCAATTGTATTTGTGACTTACAAAGTGCACTACATAGGAAGTAGGGAGCAATTTGAAATCTAGTCTGTTTGATTATCATGCAATAAAACATGACGTCTGGAAGAAGAGTCAGGCCATGTGAATGAGGGGCTGATCAGTAATGAGTTGAACCTTTACATGCTTAACAACAGTTATTTACAATCGATTATTTACTTCTGTACTCATGAGACCTGAAGGTGTGGCTGCAGTTCCAAAACAGAGTTGCAGGAAGCTGAAAGTGTGGGGTCTAAAAGTTGTGGTGCTGTGGCTCTGCAGTTGAATATTACTGCTGGTGGCAACCAAAATAGTTTGTTTGTGCTACTACATAGTTTGCTAGCTGGTGGTATTTTCTCTGTTGTGGTCATATAGATTGTGTTTTATTTATTATTTGTATATATTTTGCCTGACAGTTCGTTGGTGGACTGTCGTTGAGTCATTTGAGAAGATGCTGAAAACTCTGGGCAAGGTCATGTTTTCAACAGGACTGGAGAATCCAAAGTTCACTCCTCAAGACAGCAAGGTTGGTTACAGAGAGACTTGAGCCAGCCACACTAAATTATCTGCACAATCTCTAATACATTCTGACCTGTTTTTAGGTTGCATGTACTTAAATTAACTTTGTGTATGTGTTATGTTTCCTCCAGGGCCAGGACTACGAGGTCCGCACCTACCACCAAACAAACTGGGTCAGTACCACAGTGACTGGGGTGGAGCAAGAGCCTGCCTTAAACACTGGGTTTAACAGACTCTTCAAATATATCCAAGGAAATAACGAAAAGAGTAAGTTCTGCAGAATGATTGACGAGACATGGATGATACTTCCCTTCTAATTTGTGAATTTAAGTTACTTTAAGATGCACCCTTTGCTGACACAGTTGTTCAGTTGCTTGTTCACACAGTTTGTATAACATCCACTGTAAAAACATTGGCAATAGAAAGAAACGTCCTGCAGCAGCTGCACATTAGTACTATGCCCAATGCCAAGTGTCGGCTACGAGGGTATAAAGCCTCCCCAGTAATGGGCTGTGGAGCAATGGAACTGCGGGATGAGTTGGAGCTAATCATCAATCAGTGTCTGACCTTAATAATGATCTTGTAGCTGAATGAAATCAAATCCTCACAGCAATGTTCCAACATCTAGTGTAAAACCATTTCAGAAGAAACATTGGATGAGCAGGTGTCAATAAACCTTTTTGACATATAGTGTAGATGGAGAATACTTTCATTAAAACAAGTCTTTTTTTTTAAAAAGAGAATGTTATTCTGTGTCTACGTCTGTATCACATCACCTGCCTTATTTTCTCCAATATCCAAGTGATTAAACTGGCCAAGACAACAGGCTCTATAGCAGATGAGACAATGTTACCAGTTCAGTTTCTTTAGTCTGTTTGTCTAAATGCACACTTTTTTTACATGTGAATGTGCAGAGGAAAAAAGAATGTGGGTGAAATGCTCTCATGCAAAAGAGTTTTCTTGGTTTCTCCGGAGATAGAATGACAGTACAAAGAGCCACATATTTTAGACCATTTAGAACAAAATGAATGTATTCAGGCCATATATGATAAATTGCAAGCTCCCAAAAGCAAAAATAAATGACCTTAGCCATATACAATATATCAATTTTCAACCTCTTACTGACAAGGACTTTGGGCCAGAATGCATTCTCTCAGGGAAATGAGTTTTATTGTTTTAGTAGATCACAAGGTGGCAGTGCTGTGTTGCTAAAACAGCTCATTGTCCACTGGACAGTGTCCTGTGTAAGTCTGGTACTTGTTGGATTCAAATTGAAATAACATTGTTTTAATGAAAATTCAGAATACTAAAACTAAACTGAAATTAAATATGTTATGTATACCATGTCTTAATGCAGAAAACACTTTCTAATTGTGTGTATGTGTATTTTACTCTGTGTCAGAGGTTAAAGTGGAGATGACAGCGCCAGTGACTTTCTTGATTAACCCTGGAGAAGGTCCAGCTTGTGAGAGCTCCTTCACTGTGTCCTTCTACGTTCCTGAAGAGCACCAGGCTGACCCACCTAAGCCAAGCGCCCCTGAAATTTTTGTTGAGGACAGGAAAGAGTTGACTGTGTTTGTGAGGTATGCTCAGTTGGTGGTGAAGTCACTGTTGTTTCCCTGAAAACCTTTTTCTTTAGTTGGAGAAAACCAAAAGTGGTTATTCTGTAGCGTCGGTCCCTTTCGGCATCTTTATTTTTTGAGAGTATGTTAGTTATAATACATTTGTGTTTATTTGCTTGTTTTTTTGTGACAGGACCTATGGAGGTTTTGCCAATGCCCAGAATACTCATGACGAGCTTCTGAAACTGGTTGAGAGCTTGAAGAGGGATGGAATGGCCTTCAAGGAGGCTCCGTACTACCGTGTGGGCTATGATAGCCCCTTTAAGCTAGTCAATCGCAGGAATGAAGTATGGCTCATCAAACAGGAGGATGGAAAGGAGTAAGCTCAAAAAATGTTTACACCGTGTCATGAAAGAGGTCAAGGTTGTGGCTTAGCTTGGGAAGTGATCTTGTACTAATGATTTACATTCACAAGTGCCTGGAAAATTGGAAAATCATTTTTTAAATACTCATTTGCTGAGATTTTTAAATGCTTATTAATTACATTTAGTGAGTTCATTTACATTTAGCTATTTGTGAAATGTGGAGTGATGTCACAAATTTTTTTCCAAGTAATTTTTACCATCTTCATTGGTCCATTTACCATGGAATGTAAACAGCAGCAAGCAACTGCAGTAAGTTTTAATATGACCACATAAAATACTAAAACAAATAACGAAGAAGCTTTAGCTAATCTCAGATGCAGAGACACTGTAGGGTGTGACTGAACTTGCAGGGCACATGGATCTTTTTTTTTTCTTATTTCTGTTGATGCCATGTTGGTGAGCTTTGAAGGTGCTTTATTCGCATCACTGAATTGTTAAAGATTGCCTAGAACGGTCAGTGCTATTGTGCTGTTACTGCATCCACTTTTTATTGCACTTGCCTGTAATTCATTATATGACCAGTTTAATGTGAACACTAACACATTCCTATCATCTTGAAGTTTAAAGCCTTCAAGAAGAATCTGTTCTAAAGGGATTTCACGTACTTAATTTTGCTTCATAAGGAATGTATATACCAACTTAAATGTTTAACTAAAAAACTGATTCATGTTAGAAATGTCAAATTCTAATAAGTTAGTAGAATGTATGTTATTTTTCATTTATTAAATAATAAATACAGTTGTTTTCAAGCACTGGATGATATTTTTAAGGAGGTACAGTTAAAAAAAGCTAAGTCCTTGTGATTGTGGAGATGACCTCAGCAGCTGGGAAGTCCTCACTGACCCATGTGCAACACAGACACGCACAGAGGCTGTGCACCGTCATCACGTTTATTTTCGAGGTAACTGTTGCCTGAATATCATGTTCACATACTCAGCACAAAGGAAGAGGACTATGTATAGAGGGGCAACTTGCTCGTTCTGTGTGCTGATGCTGAGTCAAAAAAACAAACAAGGATCCATTACTGGACAGTACTGAACAGTCATAACAATAGGCAGATCATGTATGTCAGGCTAATTCTTATGAACTTTGAAGTTTTTGTTCACTCTTTTTTATGGTGTTTTGTAAGACTGAGTGTATTCCACAATGCAGGTAGATAACTTAAGTCCACTGTCATGACTGTCCAAAAACATGAGAGTTGCGTCAAATTCCTGTTTGACAGTCCTCACTTTCGGCCTAAGTTATCTAGAAATTTATCTGAGAAATCCTTTTTTGTGGAATGCTCCCCTAGTCCTGAACCTGTTTTACAATTGCAAGATAATGAAGGCCTCCAGAAGTCTTTGACTCCAGACCTTGAATCCAATTTCCAGTTGTGAATTTTGATTACTGGTAGGTTTGACACCAGGTGGCCAATCAGTTATGTCAGAAGTTCAACTACCATTGAGTACAGAACTCGACTGAAACTGAATTTAAGTTCTGGAATAGAAAACCTCTGCCTTGTTGCTGCTGTACATCACCAATGTTCAGCTACTGGGCTATAAAGAGTAAATGGAGACCCCAAATCGGTCCCACATCTGAAGGCTTAGTAATCCCAAAGCCTGACATTGTCCTGAAGACACTTCCAGGGTAGGTGATGACCAAGGTGAGCATGGGGGTGGACAAGAAGGAGCAGTTGAGCAATGACCTCGCGGAGGCCTTTATAAATGACGAACGGTCATGGGTGCCATGGTGACGCCGTTAATGAGATTGTGGTCGAACGACTGGCTGACAGGTGGCAGTGAATCAAAGACAGAGACAGGACAGATGGGACATTTTTTAAATAACACCATGTTTTATTACAGAGACGTACACAAGAGGGTTAGCAGCCGTCTTCCTTTTCATCAACATCCAGATCATTTATCTCACTCTGTCTCTCCTGTATCCATGATTTTGATTTCTCGTTCTAGAGCTACCAACAGAATGAGAATGAGACTTCATAAGCTCCCTGTTACAGGCCTGAAGCCTCAGCCAGACTCTGACTGATCATGATTCATGAAACGTAATGTAATGCAACCTTCCCCCTTTAATCCAAAATAAACCGAGTCATAGATCTCCCTCTAAAATCCCCCCAGCTATATCAAATCACATTCTGGCTATTCTAAAATAAATACTCTACAAAAGGAGCCACGGCCCTTCAACTGGGGCTTCTAGAATGTACAAATTCTTTGAAAATAAGTTCAGATGTTACTTCTTAATAAATTGTGTATTTATGTACATAGAAAACAATACAAAACTGCACAAGAAGGTACAGAAAAGAGGAGTTAGTAATTAAGCCTCAGTTAAGTAAAAGCTAGTCTTCACCAAACCATTAAAGGAGAACCACTCAAATAAATGCCATCACCAATCCAGAATCCCTACAGCAGGCTACATTTATGTTTAACTCTTTGGTTACCCAAACCATTACAAAGAAAACAGGTCTGTTATTCATTTCAAGTAAGTTTTCTCTTTTTTTGTAACAAAAAAAATCACTCTTCATTTGTGAAATGAGTTACAACCAACACAGGCATAAAATGTTTTTCATTTTAAATGATCAAACAGAGACAAATAAACAGAGACACATGTATACAGTGCAAACCAACACACTAAAACTCAAACATAAAAGGATATTCTGAAGCTTGTCATTGAGCCAGCGTCTCAGTTGTGCCACTTCAACAGTCCTTCTGTCCATGTTCCAGTCATTATCTCCTGTCTGAATTCTCCACCACTCTCACTGTACCGGTGAGCATTCCAGTATTAAGGGTGAACAGAAAGAGAAAGAACTCTGTTTATGGTGTATCTGCAGTTCATTGATGTGTTTTTAGAACTGAGAAGCAGAGGGCAATCCCAGCCCAAACGAAAATTGCGTCAGCAAAACTGTAAAGGATGTAAATAAGCTGCAGTCTCAAAAGTCCCTTTAGGCGTTCCACAAAGCCAACCCCATCCATCCACTAGTACACCACTGCAGCCAACATGAGTCACTTAGCAATTCCTTCATCTCTTGCTCACACATGCTGCTCGTAATCAATCCTTATCAAACCACCTTCCTAGTCTGCTTTTCTGTAGTTATTCCTGAAGTCCATTGCACTGGAAAAGGAAGATAACCCAAGCAAAACAAACAGAACAAACAGAAGTAAAATGTCTAAGCTTTGGGGGAGATGAGTGTAGTACTGTAAATGCACACTAATCTCTCACGAACAACAATAATAACATAAATAGTTAAAATGGGGTGACAGTTTTTTGTTTTGTTTACAAAGAGCTGCAACAGAAATGGTATTCATTCACTTCAGACAAAGCATTGATCAGTCTGAAGGAGGCACCTCGTGGCCCGACCTCTCTCTTCTCCCCTCCAAGCAGACTGGTCCAGCACTGTCTGCAGGCTGATGTAAGGGGGGGACACAGATTACTGGGTCTGCAGTGTTCCCTCCTTATGCCATGGACCAGTCTCTGCTACTGTGAAGAGGTTCATTCATTCCCTAGTTTGGGAAACTCTTTTGAACTCTTAACTCAGCTATTCCCAATCCTGGTCCTAGAGTGCCCCTGCCCTACACATCTGTCTGAAGAGCTTGTAAGCAGTTGGATCAGGTATGTTAGAGCAGGGGGTATACCAAAAATACGCATGGCAGGAACACTTCAGGACTAGGTTTGGGAACGGCTGGCTTAACTGCTCTCCTCTTCACATAAAGTGCCATTAGAGTCCTGAGGGACTGCTTGGGGGGCGGGTGTTACAGGAGAATCAGGGCATGATTCGTCCCAGCCCTCTCCACTTTCGGCCAGTTCGCCCTCCCTTTCACAGATGACGGTCATGGGGCTGCTGAGGATGCGGCTGCGGGCGTTGTACTTGCTGCTGGCAGCAGAGGGCGGCGTGCGTGATCGCCCATATTTCGGCCCCACCAGAGATGAAGGGGATGTTGGTGAGGAACCCAAAGAGTACCGTGGTATCATCCCCTCGCTACGTGCCCAGTCCTCTGGTGCCCTCTTGCTGCGGCTTGGAGAAGCACAGGGACTGTCCGGACTAATGGGCAACATGGGGTCTAATGAGGAGTCAAGTGATCGCGCCCTCTGGAAGCGTGGGTCTGTGCTGCGCAGCATCTCTGCAGCTGACATGCGGAAGCTGGTCTCTGAGCGGCTGCCTTTCTTCAGCAGCAGTGCTTTGAAGGTGTCGCTGCTGGTGGCTGACTTGCGGAGGCTGCGCTGTATGGAACTTGTCTGCCGGGGCAGGGAGGAGCCCAGTGTAGGACATGTCCCGGTGGGGGTGACTGGAGGGGACGAGGGGTGACCTCGGGAGCGGTCATCTTCTGACTCTCGTCGTCCTAGGACCTTCCGCTTGGACCTGGAGAGGGAAAGAGCAGGAGAGAGAGAGAGGCAGTGTTAGGAATGCACAGTAGTAAGATGCATAAACAGAATCTAGGGATGTCCCAATCAACTCTGGAAGATTAAGTTTTTGTGCTGATCTGAGCCTATTTTAAGGGATCCATCTGTATTAATAAGCCCAATTAAACTTTCAACTTGCTGGATTGAAGTGTTATCTGAATTTAACAAGTGGTTTAAATGTCTGTAATACAGAGATATTTTAAAGTGGAAAATGAAGTGGAAAACAGCCCAACCGCTACTATATCTGCATAATATCTGCAATGCCAGTTTTTCAACAGGTACAGCTAGCCACGTTCTATCAAAACATGGTTAAATGTGTTCATGTTTAAGGCAACCTAAAAGTGGTCCAAAAGAACAACTGAATATATCAGTTCAGAGTATCAAACAATGTACATGAAGTGCATAAAAATAAGTGATTTTACTGTAGCATTTTAAAGTAATTGGCAGTCATTTATAAACTTTTAAAGTTTTACAAACTCTGATGTATCTGAAGTGGGCACTGTGGAATTGTATTAGGAAAGTACAAATGTCAGATTGGACTCAGTATTGGCAGATACCCAATATTAAAGGACTCAGACTGGGAACGGGGCAAGAAAACTTTATCGGGACATCCCTAACTGAAACGTACATCACTCAGAGGCAGCTGGAAAGCAAAATAGCATCTGTTTTTAAAAAGAAAATGGAATGTTTTAAATGCAAACTGTAATTAAGAGGCAGCATTGTGTCCTCTTTTAACCTTTTAGGTTAGGCATGTATTAGTTCTGTAGTAGGAAGCATAAAGGGCCATGGGTGTCTGTACTGACCAAACTGACTGCAAAACTAATCCTACTTCAAGCTCTTCTCCCCTCAAGTAGAACAAACTGAAATAGGGTTCATTCTGTGATTAATTTTTCACCAATGAGCTTCCACCCTCCATCGATTCCTGTCCCATTTTCTCATTAAATCAGCAGAGCCTCTAGCAGGCAAGTTTACACTGCAAGAAGTATCGGAAAAGCTGGAATAACTTGTGTAGGATATTGATGGCAGGTGGTGCATGGGCTACACTCAAGTCTTTTATTCAAATGCAGTCTCTTAGAAGCCAACAAAGATGAAAACTGCACATGTTGCGGTTTTGAGGGAGGCTACTAATGCAAGCAGGGGGACAGTGGAATTAATCAGCAAAGCAAACTGGAGGAAAAAGTGCCCAAAAAGCATTTTAAATATAAGCAGCATTTATTCTCTTGACCAGTGCCACTGCACGTCTGTGCACACTGGCCAATAGGTTCGGGGAGAAATCGCATTCGTTAGTGTTGCGCCATTGCTGCAGATTATTGAAGTGGGGATTAGCGGGAGGAATAAAAGCAGAAATTTATCCCAGGGCTGAGGGATTACGGGGCTAATCCCATCGCAGCGTCACCACGAGAAGGGAAACACCAATGGCCAATTACTTGCCAGAGCGCACCTCACGTGCTGGGGGGCGTTCATGCTCAGCCAGTCCAGACTGAACAATGGAGCAGAGAGAAGTGAAGGTGGCCAGAGGAAAATGGAGGGAGAGAGAGTGAAAGACATGAAAGATCTTAATATAGAGGAGCCTATATTTCTGGATGTGTCATGAAACATGGTTTCAGAACAATGTACCACAGAAGAACATCAAAACTACACTGAGCCAAAAGCAAGCAAGATGAGGGGGCATGGGGGTCAAGGAAAAGCACATGACCAGAGTTCAAGTATTCACTGCCTTCACTCTTCATTTAAACGCATCAGGTCTTAAACTTAGCCTGAAAACTCTCATATTAGCAGTGCTAGCTAAAACCACACAGTTAACGAAGAGTTAAAAACTGTAGCTGTCTTCTGATGGTTACCTGTTTTATGTTGGAAATTGACAAAACAGAAAGCATTTCACCTTTGTGAAATCCTTTGTTCAAATTAAAATAAACAAAATTTCAAATTTGCTTCATAATTGACGGGTAAAATCATTCAAAGTGGTGTGATGTGAAATGTGCAGAAGTTTCTAAAAATCCAAATTTCCCTTGAACATTTGCTTTAACCGCAGCTGTGCTCAGTGAACATACTTGCATGGACACACAAATACTATAGCAGAGAAAATAAAAGCCTCTTGAATGAAATACTCTTGACATACTGGAAAAAGCCCTCAATACTGCACGTGACTATAGCACTCAAATAGGGCAAGTGTGCACAGTTCTGTAGCGCATGAGTGGATTTACAAAGCTGAAATGGATTCAGGTGTGCAAATATATGCATCTGTGATTGTGTGAGCACATCTGCACACACACTAAACACAAACTGCTTATGCACAGAATGCAGCTGTGGTACCATTTAGAAGTATGTAACTCCGTAGTCTGTGGTATCAAGGGCAGGGGTGTTGCACACCTGAATAATGAATGACTGAAAGAGCGAATGTGCTTTTCCTACACTAACTCAGACTGACTGTGCATGAACATCCACTACAACAACCCAGCAGCCCAGAGCACCTCTCCATCTGACAGACACAGACCAGAAAAGCCTTCCAACCCCAGTCTACTTCAGCTTTGATGGATGGATCTGGCGGCAGAAAAGACAGCCTGCTTTAACCTTTAGAAGTCACAGTTACTGCCAGCGATGCTCATACCTCATCATTGGAACAGTTTAAGCAAAATGAATCAATTGCTCCAATCTGATTTGAAGTTTTGCTGGTCACATGACTTCACATAGGCTAAGGTATAAGGAATGTAAGGTGACAGCTCGGATCAAAAATATTTTCAGTTTCACTTTTTGACATTACATTATGATGTCTGTGCATATAATTGAATTCTTCAAACGTTTGTTATGTTTTATTGTTTGTATAATTTCCATCTGTTCACTGTTAATTACACACAAGAATAAGACACATGTAATCAGTATTACTGTATCCAGAAGCTGCAGAGGTGCAAGTCATTCTGAGTGGAACAAGATGAAACTAGTATGCGATGACATAGAACTGAACTTCTGCATCAATCACATCAGTTGCAAAGGAACTAAAACACTGAAATTGTCCTGCTTGTTTCTACCATCACTAGATATCAGCAATGCAAAACCATGGTGTAGTTTGATAAAAGTGCAGATTCTAGACTTTTAATCAATACCACACTTGTGTTCATAAGCTGGAGATATTTTCTGATGTTTGGTAATTGGTGGAAAGCTACTGCTGTGTGTTATCCCTAACTTTTTTGCCATGTTTTGGTCATTTCTTTACCTAAAAACAGAAAAAAATGCTGACTTGAACCTGTCAATACAGAATACAAATGTAATTGATTACATAACAATGTAATTACAGAATCACAATTACATTTAAATAGTATAGCAAAACAACAACTACAGACTTCTAAGGGTTCAAGTTATGAAAGATGGGCAAGGATTCTTCAGGATCAGGATGGAGGGGTAGAGCTGAATAAAACGCAAGCGAGTGTGAGTAGCAACAGGAGGAAAAGTACCTGTGAATGGCAGCGAAGAGGTCCTCGGTGGTTCGGGGTCTTGTGGGTGTCACCATGTCCTCAAAAACTTCACCGTTGATGGGAGCCGGCGAGGAATCTGCCCCACTGGACTCAAACACCTCACCTGAGGGGCACATGACGCTGCGTTACCTTCTCACAGTCATCTCCACAACAGTGCGAAAACTACAGCTATATTTGTAAAGCGTGCCCAGAGCTCTGATATACTGTTCTTCTTAATGGAAAAAACCAACAACCACCCACACAATATTACACCTACAAACACTGTATACATTGCATGCATCCCAGAAATGACACAGAACTAGTCCAACACAAAAACATGTACAATGGGTTAGAGATAAACAGACCTTGCATACCGAAGTATGCAAGTAAGTACTGAAGACACTGTAATCTGCATGGCGAAGGTGAGAAAACTCATCCAACACAGATGTAACCCCTACACATGACGGAATAAGCAAAGTGTGAAACATTAGCCACAAACCCTAATAAATTTCAGAAAAGAACACTTTAACCACTGTTGGGCAAATCTGCTATCTCAGAGTGAGAAACGCATTCTAACGCAGCCACCTCACGCAGTCCTTGACATAAGCAAGGACAAACATGTAATTCTGTACAGAGCCCTGACATCCAATGCCTATGGAGACAGCCAAAACCTCTGTTTTCTCTTACATGATCATAGATGAATCCACATCTCCATCAGAGTTAAGGTGCTCTGCTTTGCTCCTGTCTTCCCTCTTTCCTCTCGTCATCTGCACTTGCCCGAGACGATGCGGGCAAGCTCGCGCTACACACTCACTTTACTCCCCCTCCCTCCTCTACTCAGGGCCAGCCCCGCACCCCTCCCCTTCACTCTAAAGCGACCATCCCATGAGGAGGCTGCCCCATCCTAGCCTCACTATGACGAAAGAGAGATAGATAGATAGATAGAGAGAGAGAGAGCGAGAAAGAGAGTGTGAGAGAGAGAGGAAGATAAGTAAGACAATAGTGACAGGAAAGGAGGAAAACAGACTGACAGGGAGCGCAAAATGGGATAATAAAACATGAGAAAAACCATTTGAAACAGACAAAACAGGACTGAATGAAAATGCTGTCAAGAGAATTAGAGTGCAAAGGGAAAAGGAGGGATAAAGAGAGGGATCAACAGTAAGATAGGAGAGACAGTAGGACAGTAAAGAAGGACAACAGAATCAAGAGGAGGACAGATGGCGAGAGGGGAGGGTGGCTGGATGTAGGGAGTGAGTGAGTTGGAGAAAAACAGGAGAAGCAGGACAGGAGGCACAGAAAGAATTAATCCAAATGGCTGCTGCAGCGGTATTCCATTCTAAACCCTGATACTGGGGGAGGAGGTAGGAACAGGCTGGGACCTCAGCTTCAGTTCACCAAAAGGGGAACAGAAACCCACTGCACTGACTATGACAATCCCTAGAGAGGTCCAATCTTAAGTATATTTAATATACAGTATAATCAGTGATGGTTCATGGGTCCTTCAAACTGACTAACCATTACGCAATACAATTAACCTCAAGCAAATGCCTAAGCTTGACTGTTCTCATATAAAGTTTTACTCATGCATTTTTTCCCATATTCTTAATCAAAAGTTAGAGAGCACATTTGTCATTCTCTACTGTTTCCAGCGTTTAAAAAAAGACCTAAGTAATGAAAAATGTATGATTTTCTGTCACCCACTTCAACAAATGACCCTCAACTCTTGAGAGCAAAATTAGAAGAACTGACTCACCATTTTCATCATCTTTGGAGCTGATAGATCCTGTAGTGCTGCTCACTCCATCTTCATCCTCTCCACCGTCTTCTTCTACTTCTCCGTCTGAAATGCCCTTCGTCTCATCAACAGCTGCTTCCTCGACGACTTTAGTCTGGGTGGTTTCCTCAGCCTGACTATCAGTTAGAGGTGTGCTACTTCCAAATTCGCTCACCTCAGTAGGAGATATGGAACTCTCTGTGTTGGTTGTGTCATTTTCTCTCTCCTGCTCGTCAGGGGATTCTTGACCATTTTTTGTGATATCACAAATAGCCACCTCACTCTGAAGGTTTGAGAAATCAGAAGTATCTTCCCCATTGGCTAGTACCTGTTTTTCCTCTGCAGCAGATTCAGGTGCTGAGGGAGAGACAACAGGTGAAAATCTGGGCTTCTTGGAGACCGCAGGTGGTTTTTTCTTAGGTGTAGTGTTTTGTGGTGACTCAGCAGATGTTGGCAGGCCCCTCTGTGACCCATCTACTTCAGCATCAGCTGAAACTGGGGCATGGCCTATAGAGTCCCTTGAGCACTGAGTCTGATCAGAGTGCATTTCTTCCCCAGATTCTGCATTATAGAGTGGTATCTCAGCAGAGTTGTTGTCGATGGGGAGTTTCTTCTCTGGAGATGAAGTACTGAACAGTCCATTCATTTCAGGAGCAGCACAAGAAGCAAGAGACAAAACTGTTGGATGCTCTTGTTTTTTAAACTTCACTGGAATCCAAGTCTTACTGGCCATCTGGCCAGTCTCTGTTTCCTGAGATTTGGAACTATCTGCTTTACCGTTCTCTGGCAGTTTGACTGACCGGAGCTGCACGCTCTGGAGGGCAAATGGGGTGATCAGTGGCACTGCAGGCTTGCCAGACTTCTCAGAGTTAGTGGCAGCTGATCTTCTCTCAGTGTTCACTGGCTTGAGGCCATCTTTTATTCCCTTTAAGCTTGCAGATGAAGGTAACACTGGTGTCATGGTTGGCATGGAAGATGTGTGTGGAGCATGAGCACCGACAGCGGGAGGAAACGGGGGAGGTGGTGGGGGAGGAGGTGGATGAAGAGTAGGGCTAAAAGAACCATTATGCGACATGCTGTGGCCATTCAACATCTCCGGAGGAGGAGGAGGTGGAAACTCTGGAGAGGAATTCAAGGAAGGTGGGCTTACAGAAGCTTCCTGCTGTGGGGTAGAGGGCAAAGCAGGAGCAGTTGCAGGTGAGAAGTCCTGGCTTGTAGAGCACACAGGACTGGAGGGTGGAAGAGATGGAGGGAAAAGTGGGGGGCTGAGGGGTGAGAGGGACACTGAGGAAGGAGGCAGAGGTGGAGGTGGAGGAGGAATGTTATTCTTAATAGAATCCGAAGTGTTAGAAGATAGCGATGTGGATGAAGAGGAGATAGACACAGAGGACAGCAAAGATGACTTCCTTTCAGGCACACGTGGCTTTGGCTTGCAGCCTGAGGGTGACATGGACCTCATGAAGGAAGGAACAGGAGTACCAGCTGTTGGAGTGTTGGACTGGCTTGAATATCCGCTTGATGGAGAGGTCAAACGATGCACCCTGTCCGGCGAGGAGGTGTTTACCTGAGGCTTCACTGACACATCGCCCTGGGCAGGAGGAAGGGTGGTCTGGGTACCACTGTGGAGACCCTGTCCATCTGCCATCCCGCCTGACTGCCCACCACTAGACATCGAGTTAGTACGAGGAGGTGACTGTATCTGATCACTGTGTGGACGAGGGTAATCCATATAATAGCCCCAAGACTCTGCGTAGTCAGAGCGCAGGCTGCTAGTGTCGCTGTGTGATGGTGTGACATGACAGATGGAATAAACATTAGCTACACCAACAGCAGACACCCCACTGCTTCCGGCACTTATGCTACTCTGGCTTCTAGGACGCAGCATCCATGGGTCCTCATAGTCACTGCAAGGGCTATGAGATGGTGAGGAGGAGGATCCTTTCCCTTTAAGCCCATTTTGAAGAGACTGCTGTAATGTAGCGATCAAAGACTCATTAAGAACTGATCCACTGCTAGTTTCTGCTATACCTTTGGCACCACTGAGGCTCTTAGGCTTTCGGCGCAATGAGTCTGTGCGTGCTGGTGGTAGAGGTGGCTTCTTAGACTTGCGAAGCGAGATGGAGCGAGACAGTGATCGGTCGCTGTACAAGCTGGTGTGGTCTTCTGGGTGGCCTATGCACTCATACATACTATGCCTTGTTGCCCTGCCCACAATGCTATGGCTTTTTGACCTGAGGCCTGAGTCCAGGTGCATTGAAGTGTAGTAGCCATCATTGTCCATGGAGTAAAGTGAACTGGAATCTGTGCCTTTAGAGGAGTGCTCCAGGCTGTTGTAGAGATGATTGATAGGGGTGGAGCAGCTGGAGGTGAGCATCCTTCTGGGCAGCACATTCTCTGGGGTGTCATAAATCCACTGCTCATCCGAAGATACTGTTCCTGCAGCAATCGTACTATGACTATGCAAGCTGCTGTCTGACTGGCCGGTTTCCTGCACGTCTGCCTCTGCTATATCGGTACTTGTTGCCATACTGGTGGAGCTTTCTCCATTGACAGTTGAGGCTATGCTGAGAGGCCTTAAATGCAATTTCTGCCCTGGACTTGATGTAGTGTGAAGGGCAATGACCTCAGCAGAACATGACAATGTGGCATTGGGGATGAGTGACGTTGAGTAGGCCGCATGAGGAGAAACCACACAGGCAGGACCAGTGACAGTCCCCCACTCGCCATGTGTGCTCCTCACCTCCTGAGACTTTGGGCGGGTTGCAGTACTTGTCCTAGGGGCATTCCTCATGTGAACTACAGTCTCATCAACCTGGAGTTTTCCAATCTGGCGAGGAGCTGTTGGAGTGCTGTCGTCCGGCCTGCATGGAGTGCTGCTGTACAGGGGCTCTGCGTTCAGAGAGACTCGTGCTCCCCGGGGCAAGCTGTGGAAACGCTGGGCATCACTATTGAAGCGAGGAGGTATGACATGCGTGGGTGATCCAGGGGTGTGTCCATCGGAAACTGTAGATATATTGGTCGCAGATGTCGAGATGCCAGCCATCTGAGCAGCAATCCCTTGGCCCCTCTGAGCCCGGATCCTCCTTACGGATGGTGGGACAATTTTTACCTCCTCAGTCTGGCAGCCAGAATCTCTTGTCTCGGAGCGCCTGAGCGTGGAACTCACACTGCCAGAACGTCCCAGTGTTGAATACTGTCCAGGGATAAACATGGACTGTGGTCGAAGCCCCCCTTCTCGTCCTTTAGCTGCTGCAGAGAGAAAAGATGATGAGAGACAATCATGAGCATTGCTACAGCTGCTCTCTTTGGCCCCTCCCTCTCCTTTGCTCCTTCCTGACATTAGCTGTCAATCAGATTGAAACCTGTCTATTGGGAATGCTAATTAATTTGATTAGCTACAGCCACATCTGACGTGTTAATAACTTTTAGAAACTTTGATTAGAGCTGAGAGCCTGGAGCCTGACTGCCTAACCGTTAGACCGCCTGTGTGAATGTACATTTGCCTCTGGAGGATGGCCTTCCAAGATGTGGGATGGGCAACTGGTAAAGCAGCAGATTCTCTCTCACATTCTCTCAGTCACACTCTCTCTCTCTCTCGCTCTCTCTCTCAAATGTTCTGAGATGGTAATTGAATCTGTTGATGCACCATACATTACGTATGTGATTTACATTAATACAACAATAATAAAGCACAGTGAACCAACCCTACATCGGCTTAATGGCACATTTGTTAACGAGGAAAAATAAATTACCATAAAAGAGCAATCATGACATTCAAGCTGCCTGTCTAAAAGAATTTCAACCATGTAAGCTTTGCTTTTTTCTGCAGAGAATTAGCAATGGTTTAGGAAGTTATCCCTCCCCAACCCTGCATTTATAAACGAGTGAGACTTGAACCAGATTTATTTTAGACCACCGTTACCAGTCTGTTGTTTAAGAGCTTGAGAGAGCTGTCTAATGTTAAACACCAAAGGTTAGGATGTTTAAAGTATTGGACTCTTACCCTTAGCTGACCACAGGAAAAAAGGGCTTAGGAAACACACCTAGTTTTTAGTATTCGCGATATTGTTAAGAAAGGAAGTAGCACTTACTTTGATATCGGTTTCATGTCTAAAAATGCACTGATCTGATTTGTATAAAATTATTGTTCAGACTTTATAAAGCGCACCAGGAGATGAGTGACCCTGCCCTGCTCTTTCCTTTTCCTTTAACCCTTTGCATGCCCCAGAGCTGTAGGGATTTGGCCCATCCCCCGTGTGATCTATTACACCACTAGAAAAATATGATGTAGTCCGCCAGAGAAATCTGGAAAGAGGATTAAATTGAGGCTTCAGTGTGCTGTAGAGAACCGTGTGGTATGTCATCTTTACCACTGGTGCCAAATATTAGCTTGCAGATACACAAACAGGAAACAAGCTGCAGAAGAACTCGAGGCTATGACCCAGGGGAAAATTGGAAATGGATTACAGCTGAATGCAGGTGCCAGAGATTATGCAATGAGAGAAAGGAGAAATTCAGAAGTAAAGATTGCATGATATGGTCCAAATAAAGATGAGCCAACAATGAAACTCTAATGAACGGTATGAAAAATAGACAAAATGAAAGAGTGCAATATGATTGTGTAATGAAGGAAAGCACTCAAGGCTCTTGTGAGTCTAGTCAAAAGTACTACAGAGAACTGCTGAGAATGATTACGAATTAAGGCAAGGGTAGGTGGGTATAAATCAGAGTCTAGGTCATAAAACATAAAAAAGAAGAAGCAAAGAACCAAAAAAAGTGGCACTTTGATAAAATGTACAGAAAAAAGCGAGTTTGACTTTGGGGACTACTCTAGACTACACTAGATGAAAGGCGAAGTCTAGATGATGGCAGGCATTGCAGGATCAGCAGCGGTGAAAGCTGGCAGAGCCATACCATACCTAGTTCCTGCTGGATGTTGTCAGGTAGCCCTGATATAGTCTTTCTCCGTTTGACCTTCTTGGGTCGACGGGCCAGAGTGTCCGTGTTTATTAGGGAGCGGCGGACGCTGGCCTGCCGGTCAAATGTCTCCCCTGGAGACCAAGTGAGGAAGGCAGGTGTGGAGGGCAGACAGGCAAAAGGGGGCAGTTAGTGAGGTGCATGCATTCCTCATGCAGAGAACATATGCATAAACAAACACACACATACACCCACACGCAGTATGCAAGCAAACTATGGAACAAAAACAGAGCAAGAACAAAAGCTAAGAATCCATGATCTCATTCCGATGGCTAACAATGACATTAAAGAAAACTGAAATGAGAAACTACAGTTTAAGCTGACGTATTTCTGGATAGGGCCGATATCAGCAGAATATCTGAGCGAGCATGTGCGCATCTTTAGAATGAAATTTGGATCAGTATGTAACATTACTGATCTGTTTCATCACAGTAATAATGAAAGGTGTCTGAGATGCTAAGTATATGTTTGCTTAGGGTTAAGACCTCATCACAGGATGTAAAAGGTAAAATATGATCAAAGCTAGAGCTTTGTCCATGCACAAGCATTCGGAGCTATGTTAGATGTGTCGGTGGCAGCGCCTGAGGGATGGAGCTTTAGAGTGTGCTGTTGACAGACTGAGCCAGAGATGCCAGGGAGTCTGAGGCAGCGGCAGAGCTGACAGACTGAATTAGAGTGTGTGATAGCGGTTTAAATCTAATACAGCTTCATCTTACTGAGTCATGGTGGAACGCCGTGGAGACTGACAGTTTACAAACTAAGAAATCGTGTGAGCCGAGGCAAACTGTTTTCATATGGTTTCAGACATCAAACAACTCTGTATGTGTGTGTGCGAAAATGTTTGTGTGTGCATGAGGCTGATGAACGGCTGGATTTGCTTGACCTTTGGCAGTTCATTCTAACAAAGAGTGATCAGGAGAGAGATTGAGCGTTCAGGCAGAAAGATAACTAGTACAGAAAAGGTCAGACTGACAAAGAAAGACAGAGAGAAAGAGAGAAGAAAGCACTGTATATTAATAAAGCTTTCATTTGTTAATGTGTTAATACAAGCAAACATGCAACAACCCTTGAATCCAGAAATGTAGAATTATATTAGTTCAGCAGTAAGTATTTTTAAACACCAGGAAGAGACACATGACTACAACTTCATACATTGTGGGGGAAAAGGGCAATATCCCGAAATTATAGTGGCCTATGCATCCGCAGTTTACCAGGTACTTCTTTGGTTACCCTAATGTTGTTACCTGCATTATCTCAGCTAGAATGTGTATAATATCCACATTAGACAAAGACTGCCTCTGTGTAATAGTATCATATCATATTATAATATGTTATGAGGTAGTAAACTATGAGATGGAAATATGCTACCCACACTTATTTAAAGAGTAATGTAGAATTCTTCATAAATCAATCATTACGATTGAACTAGTAAAGTCATTCAAAGTGGTTTGATGTGAAATGCTCTGTTCTTGAGGAAATTCGAATTGTTCACAGTGGTGTTGATAATTTTTAGAGGTGTTTAATGTCTCTAAAACTACATCACAAACTTATAACAGGAAATGGTTTTGAATATGTTGCCTTAAGCCTAAGATGTTGTTTTATGTTTTGAGATAAACTTTGGTCTAAAAATGGTTTTAAATACATTTATGGTGGGGGGGTTCATGCACAGGGGGCAAAATAGTCCTCAAAGAAACCTTACCTTCTCCATTTTACCATGATCAACTTTATGTTTAAAAACTAATAAGGTTTGTGTAGGTTCACTGTTAATTTTGATTAACAAATAAAATGGCTACATTTGCACTGTAGACATCACAGCCCCTGGTTGCCATCACCACATTTATAAAGAAATCTCAATAAGTCTCTTTACAATGCATAAATTTACATCAAACCACTCTGAAATAATGCAAAGATCTCGAGAAATCGTTGAATTTTTCCTTCAAGTCACAGTTAAGTCTCCTGAATTCTTGACCTTTTTACATATTTTTCCTAAAATATGTACACCTTGGGCAGCCCTTTTTGTTGTTTTTGTAACCTTGCAATTTTCTTTAAGATAAATAAACTTTCTATCTATCCATAACAACTTGCTCATTAACGTTAGCTGAATCAGTCCCAGCTTAGGCCTTACCTTTGATGTGGGCACATTTGATGGACAGTTGTGAACAGGAGCCTCTTACCTGTGACGTTTATGGGGACGATGTCTGTTAAAATAGCCTGAGCTTGCTGTCTCATCTTCTCTTCAGGTGTGGGAAGGGGCGGGGCCTTAAAGCAGGGCTCCTGTCCATCAACCTCTGATCCCTCCCCCTGCACTAGAGTCTGAGCCTTCATTGGGTTGGAACTCTTCTCCTCCTCTGCAGAGGATGCAGTGGACTGGAGGCGGAAGAAGAGAAAGAGAGATGTTTAAGACCAGTGGGGGTAAACCTGAACCCTTAATGGAGATACAGGAGTAATGAGACAGTAGGAATAAACATCACTTCCACGAAAACACAGTTTTAACTGCTTCATTCATCCCTCCTTATCTGCGATCAGCTTCAGCCAGAAGCTCTTTATAGTGTTTGTGACCTTTCTGGAGCTCCAGAAGTACACAGAGCATTTTAACAGCCAAACGGACACCACTTACAAACATATGCATGAACACACACACAGCCAGACAATGAAAACAAACTAATACAGTGGTTTTAGTCAGTGTCAGGTCATACAGTTACATACGTCTCATATGTATTATACACAGTACTGTGCAAAAGCAGTTTGCTAACATTACAATCAAAAGAGTCATTAGTCATTAAATTGATTAATTGTTCAGGAGATATTTCTGAGGAAATTTGATATAAGATAATCTATTTGCATTAGCAAGAGAGAAAGTGAAATGAAAATAAGGGAAAAACACTGAAAAGAATTTCTAGTCAAACATATGGGCTGTTGGTGTTCTCAGAGCAATGAATTAAAAACTTGTAAGCAAGTCTCCAAAAAAGAATGGAAGCTGTAACAAACACAAAGAGTGGGTCCTGATACTTAATTTTGAAACATTTTGATACTTAATTTTGTTGCTGAGGTATCCGTGTGACTGGAAGTTAAATAAATGAAGGGTTGTCTTTAACTTTTGCACAGTACTGTAAATGTAAGTATCTATATGTGATAGAATTTCACATTTCATTTCAAAACAAAATTCTTCAGCTCTTAAACACTTAAAAAAACACTTTACAAGGTCAGGTTTTGTTTCTGATCATGTAGGTCATCCTTGTTTTTTCTGGGTTTCCTACAAATTTAGGAATTTTCTTCCTGAAAAATGTGTAAAAACAACCAACCACACACACACAGAAAAGAAGAGGAGCTAGGCAGTGAGGGAGAGTGGAGGATTCACTGAGGCATTAAAACTCTGTTCACGCACTATGATTCCTGAATGGGCATGCTCCTTGCAGCTGAGCTACAAGTGGAAACGTTACTGCTGGATTCACTCTCTCACACCTGGGCCTCAGAAACCTCCACAATAACACAGATCACAGCAGTGTCTGTGTGCACAGCACTGCTAACAGCACTGCCAATACGCGAACACTGAGAATGAAATCTAAATCCAGCTCAAGGTCTTTCCGTTTGTCTCGTTTTAACCCTTGCAGAATACAAACTTTCAATCGATACCACAAGCAAAAGAGTTGTATGGAGAAAAAAACCTTCTGCCCCCATTGTCATTTTTCAAAACAAACAGGTAGGAAGAGTAGATTCAAACTGCCAATACAGAAACATGTAAATTGAATGACAATTTCACAATCATGTAACTATGTAATGAATCCCATATTACATTTAAATAGCAGAATAAAATGAAAGTAACAACTCTTGGCTTATAATGGTTGAAGGCATGTTACATTGAGAAATCCACAAACAATGTTATCACTGCAAAAATTAGAAGCACTAAACAGGTTTACATTTTACCATCTGAAATTAAAAGCTAAAAGGTTTCACTTGCTAAGATAAAAAAACAATAATAATAGTATAGAAGAAGAATGCTAACTAATAATAATGATATTAAAATGAAATTGTCTATGCTTTCTGCACAAAGAAAAATAAGCAGTTAACAAACTCAAACAAAAGCCAAGCCAGCAACATCATCCCCTCTGCCATCTTACTGAGTCCTATAAGAATGCAAAGAGAACAATGTTCACTAAATCTCTCTCATTCACACTAGAGGAGACGAGGAGGGAAAAAACAGTGGGGGAAGGGGATGGCAGACAGACAGAAAGACAGAGAAAGATAGAGAAAACATGAGAAAGAGTGAAGGAGAAAGACAGACATAAAGAGAAGGAGACAGAATATGATTCAGATTATACATACAGAGAGACAGCGTGAGTGAATATGAGAGAAAGTATGAGTGAGTAGTGTCACAGTGATCCACTGCTTCCCTAAACTTTCATCACTGACAGACAGAGTTAGAGTCATGGCAGTGGACAGCAGAGGAGATGGCCCAGGGGGGCAAAGGTCAAAAGAGCAGAACAATGAGGAACCCCACTATGGCCTTTCTGAAAGGGTCTGGCCTCTGTGGCTCAGTGTGTATGAGAGAGAGAGAGAGACAAAAAGAGGCTAAAGTGTAAAGTGAACAGCTGGGTCTGTCACATGTCTCTGTTCATTGATTGAACTTGAGTACCTTAGATGTTGGAAAACTGCTGTGAGGATTTGACTGCATTCATGTATGTTGGATAATTAGATCTGGATCACAATAAACTCATTCCAAACCCATACTGGTTGGTGTTCCATCAGTCTAGAGAACACAGTTGGGCTTTAAACCCCTCTCGAATGACACTGGGAATGGTGACCTTAGTCTCACGTTTGACTGATCCAGAGCATCCGATGCACCAAAAAACAGCTAAGCTCATTAATTAAAAGGGGTGTCTGAACAATTTTGGACATGCAGTGTTTTTTGGAATCTCTGAAAGGCTCAGCTTTATAACTCGTCATTATGTCCTGTGACCATAGCAACATCCAGCCTATTAAGCTCCATATAAATAAATAAGAATAATGCAGTTTCGTTTCACTGAGAGTAACAGGTGGAGTGTTTCTCCAGAGACCCAGTGCTCAAAATCAGGCCACACATGGCTGACAACACTAATGAAGCTGAGAGAGAGAGACAGACAGAGAGAGAGCGAGAGAGAGAGAGAGAGAGAGAGAGAGAGAGAGAGAGAGAGAGAGAGAGAGAGAACTGAGAGACACGCTGAGACTGAACCAATGCAGTAACACATCTTTACCAGAAGATGGCACTGTTGAGCTTAAAACACTTGAAAGTTAAACAGCCTGTTTAGTACTAAAATTCTGATTGAACGAAACTGCGACTTTTGCGTGAAATACTCAAGGATCCCGAAGCTGAAGTAGGTCCAGAGAAACACTCACAGAGTTGCATGTATTCCTTTTCTCCTGCAGAGGGCAGCAAATCCATATGCTAAACTCATTCTGCCAGCCACTCACATTCTCAATCATAAATGACACTTCTTACAACTTTAGCCACTGCCCAGTGTGAGCTCAAACACTTTTCTAGAGTATGAAGTGTTTGTATCAGCCACATCATCTCACCTTATTATCAACCTCATCAACTTCATCATCCTCATCCTCCTGCTGGCTGCTGTGGGAGTGAGCAGAGCCTGAGAAGATGGGGCCCTGGGAATAGTACTGCGAGCTGCGGAAGCCATCCTTCCTCAACTTATCACATTCTGCAAAACACACACAAAACACAAGCACATCGATTAGGACAAGGACAGGTGAAAAGTCAAAGGTGTTACCATGGAAAAGGGAGAATGATGCTCAAATGTTCATATCTAAGATTTTCTCTCTGTGAAAGAATAAAGCAGTACAGCTGAAAGCGTGGCCAAAGCTGGATTTGAAGAATTACCCCAACCACACCCCCTTCACCTCACCAGAGAACAAATTTTTATTCTACTGTTAAATTCTTCTTTTCTTTTAAATTTGTTTTTAAAGCATTTCAGTAATATAAAGTAATATACTTTAAGTTTACTATAATATGATGCAATTTTTAAAATTTCATGATACCTACCTACTTTATTTGCATATTATTTTATATTTTTGTCCACAAACATTGCACTTTAGCTGCACAAGTGTCTAGCTAGCATTGTCAAGTGGTACTCAGGGATGGACAAAGTATAATAATTCTGTACTTGGTAAAATATTACTTGAGTAAAAGTACAAGTATTCTATCTATATTTCTACGTGTACAAAAAAAGTACAAAAGTAACTGCTTGTGAATGTTTTTAAGTATTAAATACATTCAAAGTCATTTTAGTTATATAGATCCATATCTATAGTACAATATCATTTTGATGCACAAGTTTTATTAAGGAGACCTGTTTGACTGCAGAGATGAAAAACTGAGTCAGTACAATACAACACAAGAGTACTTTTACTTTTGAAACTTAAGTATATTCACAAACAAGTACCCTTGTACTTTTACTCCAAAAATAGAATATTTGTACTTTTATACCACTTTTAATACTTCGAAGATTACTGTACTTCAAACACTCCTGAATGAACATTAAAAAATGAATAAAAAAATGACAAACAAAACATGAACAATTTGAAAGAACGAGTGAAAATGTGAGCATGTGAACAAATGTACGAGTGAACATAAGGATGGGCATGTAAGGGATTTTCACATCTACACCCTGTGTGAATTTTGTTGAGTGAGTGTGAGTGTGTTCCACACCATTTGCTGTAGATGGCAGTTCCTTGTCACTTTAAACAAATGGATTAGATTAGATGAACTTCATTGTCCACAAGGGAAATTTGCAACCTACACAATTCAGCTCTATGTATGCATACATACAGCCTGTACAGTTACATTTGCTCATAGCACAGTTTCTGTGTTCCCCTTATCCCAACAGTCAGTACAGTTGCATATATTCATACCACAGTTACTGTGCTCCCCTTATCCCAGCACCTCACACCAGTTCCTTATCTAAGCAGTTAACTGACGCAGGAACAAATACCCTTGCTGTATCCCACAGTACCCACTCCTCAACCAATTATCTAAGTGTGCCTACACAACGTGACACTTTCACATAAAAGGTGTTGCTATAATCGGCTTGTGGAATACCTGTGTGTATCTCATCTCTCTCACCGTGTTGCAGCTTTAAAAGTCATGAGGCAACGGAAAGAAAGCCCTTATTTTTTCCATGAACGCAGGACAGGTAGGTCTCCCCAGACACACGTCCCTCTGACGCATGTACACTTCCATATTTAGCCACCTGATCAGCATAACAAGATACCCTCTAGTAATTACATGGCCTACCTTTAATTTAGATGGGTTCAGTTTCTGCTTCAGTATAAGGCAAATTCTAAAGGGGAATTCCACTGACTTTGACTTAAATTTCTGGTTAAATGGTTAAGATGTAAAACCTTACTCAGAGTCGTTACATGTGAAACACTCTGTCCCAGAGACATTTACTGAGACAGTATCATACACGGTTGTGGGTCACCAAGTTTCTCTATAACGCACAATTTTAGATCAACGATTTACCTCAATAATTTAATCATGCTGAAAATTTGATATTGGTGGAATTCCCCTCAAGTGTGGCCTGAAAGGAGAGCATTAGTAATGGCTTGTGTGTGTATTTATCAGACACATGTGCTGTCTGTGTCAGCTCTTGGCACCAGATGATTCCATATTGACTGCTGGAGCTATTGAGTGTTTCCTTCCATCTACTGATGACACTGTCCTTACTGCAATGCATGAGTTTTTACTGAGAGCCACATTAAGCGTCCATACACAGACTAACCAGTGCATAATACCTGAAAGAAACCTCACACACAAACACAGAGTTTCCATCAGCGAACATTTGGTCCTGAACACTGGAATCTTATCTCTAGGCAAATTATTAAAGTGCTGCTGATCAGCTGATAAAAGCCCGTCAGTGTTAGCACTGATCTTTAAATTGCATTACGTAAGTCTACAGACAAAGCAAGGACACAATGATGAGCGCCTAGTTAACACGTGACTGGCAAATTTGATCAAATAATCAAAACTCCCATGGATTTTCTGATGACTTTGTGAGCCTTGACCCTCAAGATAAGCCTCCAAAACACCTCCTCTGTCAAACTAAGCTTCCTCTAATTCTGCCATGCACAACTTTGAGGTCATGTTACAGGTTTACACAGCTGATGAAACTCTGTAAACATGTTTCAGGTGGGTTTCATGTTCTCTGCTGTTGTGACCCAAACAAAACCATACAAGAAGAGCAAGAGAGTGCAAGAAGAGCATGTGAAAGACAAATCAGCTTTCCAGCAAGAAGAGCAAGAAAAACAGGTCAGAATGACACACAGCCTTGAGGAAGGTGTGGGAAACTAAAAAAAAACAGTGTGTGCTTGTTTTTTTGTACATTTTCAGGATAGAAATGTCCTCATTTTTGGGACAAAAACAGAAAAACTCTGGAAACTTAATAAAACGATCTTGGATTTGTAAAGTGTTTTTAATAAAAGCTGCATGTTTCATTATTTTAACTGAAAGGGCAAAGACATTTCTTTTTGGTTACTGTTGTGAAATTTTGGGTTAACTTTGGAAGCTGTTTGGACAAAACCTTGTACTTATTTAAGAGTGCATTATTATTATTATTATTTTTTTTTTACATTTTTCAATTCATTTGAAAATGGCAGCTGCCCTTCACATTGCGTGGACAGAAATGACCCAACTTCACTAGGAATACAACCTTGTTAAATTACTCATTAGAAAATGAAAACATCTCTGGTCAAATTACATGTTATGCTGATTTTGTAAGTGAATGCCTTACAGAGAACAAACTTAAATATGGCATTTTTCTGCACATTTAAGCACACAATTTATATTTATTTGCTGAGTTTAATTTATTGGAAAAACCTAACCACAGCTTTAGCACAGGCCATGTTTTATATTTATTTTCCTCCCCAATATGTTCAGTTCAGCAAATAAACAGTAATCATTTATTCAAATATGCAGAAGTATGCTCTCTGTGGTAGACATGTTTACTTATTTTTACTTAGAAAAAAAAAAAGTCATTTGACCAGGGGCATGCAAACATTTGTATATGACTATATGTGTGTATGTGTGTGGTTCACCAGTGCAGGGGCCTCGGTTTACACAATGTTAAAAAGAGGACAACAAGGGCATCACAGAGAGAGGGAAGAAAGATGAGAAGGAAAAAGAGAATAGAGGTAAGCTACCAAATGAGGTTATGCGATACATGAATTGTATAGAATTCCCTCTACTCAGTGGACCCCCTCCCTCTTTCCATACACACAACTATTTGTCTTCTTTCCTCTCAGTCCCCTCTCAGTCTCTCTCTCTCACTGATATCAATATGTAAAGTGTATGGAGTTCTGATAAGAAAGGTTTCAACTCTTAGTTTTAACCATAACACCAATTCCACAGAACAATTTCCGAGTGTTCTCTTTCTTTTTGCTGTCCAGCTGAGGCTTTTATCACGATAAGCTGGCCTATACACCTGTTACTGTATAATTAAACAGCCTTGCTCATATTGACCAGCTGCACTGTAGCTCATCTAGGCTCTGTTGGCTCAGGTTCCATTAGGGCCACTGAGACTGGATCAGTTCTAGCTAAACCCTCACTGATCTTCACCTCTTACAGCAGCACACCTGGCCTGGACCCAGGTCCACTCAACACCGAAGTAACTCGCGATGTAGTGTCAGTGCAGGTGACCAGTGTAAAAGGCTAAGAACAGGAGATGGCACTGCACAGTGTGTTTATCTGCTGAACTCGGGCCTCGATCACATGCCAGTGCTGCCATGTTCAATACTGCATAACCATCACCATCCAGTAAAAGAAAACACATATCTGTAAATACATTTAACTATGCAAACTTGTTTAGTTTTGAAGGAATATTCCACTGGGTTTCAATCTAATCTGCATCTGCTACATCTGTAGCATATACTCAGTCTGTACTTAGTAGGTGATTTGAGACAATTTTTTTTTATGATTTTCTAGGTAAATTGTCAGTAATCATGAAAATATTGTCTGTGTTAAGCAATTATTCTACAGATGGAGCAGACAGATTTGGTTGAAAGGCTTTTCATCCACTATTACACATTGATTGCTATGAAACTACTATTTGAGGTGTTACAAAAGTGAGGAATTAAAGTCTGGACTAGGTCCTTAGAGTTTAAAGAGGTTAAAGGTTACATCTCAAGATTCTAGGATGTTACTACTTGAACTAAATCAGAGAGCACAAAAAATGACCAATCCAGGTGCAAAATAAACAAATCAAGTACTCGTTACATAAGTGTAGTTTTTGTGGATTGTAGTAACTTTTGCGATAAAACCATGTGTAGGAGAGCCTGCTTTGAGTGCTGGTACCTCTGAGGGCCGTTTTGAGGTTGACTTTTGCCTGTCGGTGCAGCTCCTCCACACAGGCTGGTCTGGACGCTGGCAGGAAGACATTCTCCTGCTGGTGCCAAGGTGCCGTGTAGTGAACTGTCCACTTACTCTCCTCATCCAGATTAGACACAGCTGCAGAGAAACATACAAAAAAAAACAGCTGTTAGAAGACAAATAGTTTGAAACTCTAAAATGTGTCCACCTAGTCTGTAAAAGGAATACTCCTGCATTGTTTAATCTAAACTGCTGTATGGTCCATGACTTTTCTGTTCTTTCATCATGTACAAAGAAATTAGTCCAACTGTCTATGGTTATCGACCATATGCTACAATTGCAGCAGATAGAGATTAGGTTGAAAAAACTGTTCAGAATGCAGGAGGCATAAATATGAACAACGAACCACCAGTAAATGCCATCAATGACCACCAAATGCTGCTCACTGCGTCCATTTGTGAACTCACCATGAAATACAGCTTAAAGCTCTAGAACAGTGTTTTAAAAACTTTCCCTGTCTGTGTCCTGTAACAACACGCCTTTTGAGGAGGGCCTGAAAGAATTGCCCCGGGGAGCCTAGAGGAAGAGGAGTGCATTCAAACTACAAATGGGCCGTTAAGCCCTCCTTGGGGGCAAAAGTGTAGGAGAAGACCCCTGGAGTTAATAGCATGACTCCAAAACCCGCAGTACCAAAAGGTTGTGACTAGATTCAGAAAGGAAAAAGCAGGGAACCAGGTGTGAACAGCTGTCTGCTGGGGGCCACAGGTGCCGCTGAGCCGTTAACACACTGGCTGAGAGCTGCCAGACTCACGGAGCTGCAGTGGCTATGCAGTTGTTAATTGAGCTCATTCATGAGTACACAAAAAAAGTTGTTAAAAGACACACTTTGCAAGTGGGCTATAAGCACCCATTCAAACTGCTGCTCAGCAGCTACTGCAAACCTGCATGTTTCACTCTCCTCAATCACGATTTACAGATTACAGTTTAGTGACCTCAGAGGCTATCAGCCTGTGCCATGTAGCATCAACTAACAGTACAAAACGGTGCAGCAATCAACTCTTCAATCTTCAGTCAGCAGCAATCTTAAAAAAGAACCACACTCTTTTCAAAGCTCTCCCATTACATTAAACACAGAGTGTTAACTAAGAACATTCACACTGAAGAGTCTGACAGAGTGTGCAGCTGTAAAGAAGCCATTATGGAAAAAAAACAGACAAACAATTTGCATTATAACACAGAAACTGGATATCTCAGATCTGGAGTAAGGTTTTATGGACATATGAATTAAAATTTGTAACTGGGATTACTTGCATTGTGTGGGAGGCATTGTGCAAGGCTATCAAATTCTTAACTTTGGACATGTTTACAAGAAGCATGGAAATGTAACCTGCAGATTTCCTTTAAAATCTCAAAGCAAGTCTCCTGAAAACAGTGAAAGCTGTAATAAAGGGCAATGATGGACAAGCTAAATATTGAAAAAAATATTTAACCCCTGAAATGTGCAATTAATTTTTAAATATGTCTTTTTCTCCTGACCTGAGGAGTGAATAATTTCCATTTTGCCTGGAAACTAAATAAATGAAGGGTTTTCTGACTTTTTCACAGTACTGAACTTTTTATAGTACTTACAAACTATTAATGACAATGTTAACACTTTTAATAGTCTCCTGTACATGGAAGATAGTACTGGCCAGAGTGCATGGATAACTGTATTCAGGCACTCAATGAATATGTATAAACATATGCACATCTTTTTATGCATGGGTCAGAAAGTAGCCTATTTTTGCCTACATGTAGCTTTATACACTTTATATATACTTTATATCATTCTCACAAGCAGCTTTATAAGGAACCACCTGAGATGCCTTTTCAACAGAACCAAAGATGATAAACTAAGACATGATGATATGCTGAGGCGTTGCTTCACTATTTGTTATTGTATTAAAACCAATACATTTGTCAGTATGTACATGTAAGAAAAATTGTCTAAGCCTAATGCAAACCTTAAGCCTAGGCTTAACTTCAGTGGCCAAAAATAAATGGTTTTGTCTGGTCAGTTAAAAAAAAAAGAAAAGAAAGAAGACATTTATAAAGTCAGGACCACTGTGTTGGTCTTGGAATTTAACCATAGTTTTCACTGGCTTTCCTACAAAGTTAGGAAATTCTATCCCCTCTTGTCAATATTTAGTGACTAGATCAAGTGCTGTGGTAAACAGTCTCCTCCTCAAGCCTCATTGCATTTCACATGTGGATTTTATTTGACTGAAAGTGAAAGAAAGTGAAAAGTGGTGGCACCTAAAGTGATGAGTAATTTGTACAAAAATCTGCAGATTTACAAATGAAATGATTCAGGTTGTATCGTGTAGGTTTTTTGTAGTCTGCACTCTCACACATCCCACGTTATTGATGGAGTGTGTGTGTTTGCTGGGGGTCAGCATCTACATGTGTCTGAGCATCTAAACAAGAGCAGCTGGTACTGTCACATCACATGGCGCGCACACACAGAACCAGTGCAGACACACACATTCACGCTGCACAACATTTCACACAGTTCAACAAACTAAAACACACAAGCAGACTTCACTATCAGTGGCCAAAACGCACTCATGCTCACAAGGCACATAGTCAATCCATCTGTTCTGAGAAAAAAAGAAAGATGAAGTTTCAAAGAGCAGCACAGACTTTTGATCTGCCCCAGAACTAAATATCAAAGGACAGTAACACACACAGGGCAGGTAGACTTTGGTGTTGAAGTCATGTGTGTATGCAGTAGGCAGAGTCTGCAGAGGCTCAAAAGGGAGCAGCAAACAAAACCTGCATTGTCCCTAACATCAGCCACTGCTCAGCACTGCTAAAGCCTATTTGCCAGCGCTATAATCCACCAAACGCACAGTCCCATCGACCACATGAAATCCCTGGACATAGCAGTCTATTCAAACTAGCACTAGTTCATGGACATAGACAGAAACAATCATACTGTTATCTAATTGATTTGGACAGTTCTAGTCAAAACTCTGCCAACAAGTACAGCAAACAATAGTAGCTTTTTTTGAAGAGAAGCACAACAATATTGAAATCATACTGGCATTGGCAGACATTTGCTTAAAAAAGGAACATCAGTATCGGACAGATGTTTAGACTTGAATGATATTTCAAACTGATATTTGATGGCGTATTTTCCGTACTCTGGAGGAGCAGAACATTTAGGCTACACTGAGCTAATATGCTAAAATGTCTGCTTTTTATTCATTTTACTATTCATTTAATCATCAGGGCATCCCTAGGACAGATTTTGATGATATTTCATGACGTATTCATTGCACTCTGGAATAGAAGAATGTTATGTCAATGCGACGCTACACTGCAAAAACGCTTGCATTTTATTCACTTTACTGCATTTAAAACCCTGAAAATAAATGGTATATTCCCCTGTAAAGCTGATCCAGGTGGATTTAGTCCCAACTTCTACATTTTATAAATATATATATATTTTGACATAGGCAGATATGTATGTTAAAAAGTACCGGATATCAACATCGGTCCGCAATTCCTATATCAGAGCAACCTTCATTTTTGTAGGGGTGGGCGATATGGCAAAAATTAATATCACAATATTTAATTGAAATTATTATGATACACAATATGTCACCATATTTACTTTTTCTGAGATCTGATAAGTTGTGATTGACCAAAAAAGAACCAGTGGTGCCACATTTAAAAATACTATCAAAATATAAAAATATTATGAACACAAATGATTTTTGCACACCCTATGCTGCACTAAATCTATTTTAAACAGGACTAATTATGTTCTGTTTGTAAATGAAACATGCAGTTCAGTGGTCGTTTTACATACTGATATCCACAATATACATATAAAAGCATATTGTGACACACTGTACTTTTTTTTGTACATGTAACAACCACTGAAGCAATCAGCATGCATCTAAGACTGTATAAGGGAGGGAGATGCACCCCTACAAACACATGCATGTGGCTAGTTATAATCCATGGACACGTGCTGGTGACAGTCACTCAAGGCCAAACTAAAGAGAAGAGACACTATCTATTACTGTCTATTAGTCAGCACTTCAATACTAATCATACACAGAGGACACAGAGTCATCACACACCCAAATACAAGCATACTCAGCATAGTGTCAAGTGAAATAATAGAAGAGCAGTTCACTCAAAAACTATAGAGATATAATAATAAAAGCCACATCCTTACCCTTCCTTTTGAAGTATTTAATGACAGACTTAAGCGAAGTCCCGATGAACACCATTATTCCAGTGTGTGTGAGTGTGCATGTGTGTATTTGCTACTGCTTCTGAGTGAAGCTGCTTCTCTCACATCCACACACAACTCTGCCTGTGCCTCTCTCCATCACATCAGAATCCCCCCCTTAACACATGCAGCCCCTCCTACCAACACACTCACTCAGCCCAACCCTGGGAAACACCCCCTCCTCCCTTACACACACACATATACACACGCTCCCTGAGGGCTGGGGTGCAGGCCCTCTGTTCATCTGTGCTTTGGTTACCAAGGAGTCTGGTGTGTGTGTGTGTGTGTGTGTGTGCTCCCTCAATGCACCTGAAACTGATCGGTGTGCACTGATGCCTCACTTTCATCTACAGTAATATAACCTCTATGCTGTATTTCAGTCTACTGAAGAGGGGTACACACAATATTGTGTAGAAGTCTCTGGCATCTGAGAAAATTATATATAAAGCCATTTATCTGGGCAATAAATGTTTATTTACTTTAAAAGAGGAAGGGAGAAACCCCAGTATTTACCGTTACCATCTAATATGTACGTTATCTAATCAAGCTTGCATTAAATTGAATCAGGTGTGCAGCTAATAGAATTTAAAACAAATCAGTGTAGTGAGTAGAGATGTCAGGAACCAAATCTGTGTTCTTCTTACTGTATTCTTCTAACCAAGATCACAGTAACTTTACTGAAAACAATACATTCTTTTTTCTTCTTAATTAATATATGTTTATTTGAATTAATTCTAATGTTACACAGTGTTTCTCTTGGCAAAAACACTTCCCAGATAAATAGTTTTAAACAGTGCTTTTGGCTGTTTAAGACTTTCGCACTGTACTCTGTGTGTGTGGGTGTGTGTGT